TCTCTCTCTCTCTCTCTCTCTCTCTCTCTCTCTCTCTCTCTCTCTCTCTCTCTCTTTCATTCATCCGTTCACATGAAATGCCAAATGTAAAACTTTTGCGAAGCATATAAATGCGGTGATTAAATATGTGCGATTCTCTTTATACTGGCGTATATTGTCTTGAAGGTTTCCTGATTTTTAGTACAAAAATGTTATGCGCGTCATTCGAAAAATTTAATACTATTTAAAAATTAACATAATTTTTGCGCCGTTTTATTTGCTCATTTTGCATGTGTAGTTTTATTGCCATTGCTGTTGTTTCAGTTCAGATGGCATTGCTTATAAATTGTTAGACACGTATAAATCAAATTTAGCATGTTCATTTCGTATTGGCAATACATTATGGTTTTAAGACAACGGTTCGATCGAATACACACACTCAACCGACCAAATTACTTTTATCGCTGTAAAACAATCGAAAACAATTTCCAGCAACAACAACAGTTAATCATTTAATCTTGCAAATATGCTCCACACCCTGTGTGTATTAATGCAATTTGCGCAAAACCCAACCGGATTCCAACTTACTTTGTATGCATATTGCACACATAAAATGTTCGTTGTCATCGTCATTTTTCGTCGGCAAACAATACGTAGTAGCACACATTTTTATCGTAATGGGCATTCAAAATTGTCAACATAACACTATCTACCTTCTTCTTCTTCTTTTGCACCTAGTTTTGTTTCAAAATCTAAATATTTTTCAACCTGAAATCAGTTCAAGGGAAACGTATCGATATTCAAATCGATTTGTAATGATGAACATTTGAAATTAATCCAAATATCAAATAAAGTACAATGCAAATGTAAATATTGTGCACGCGCCAATGGTTTTTTGTCTTTCTTTGCATTTGCAAGACCTTATCGAACACAGGAACATAACTAATGATTGAATTCCGATTTGTGTGTGTGTGTGTGTGTGTGTCTGAGTATGTTTTGAATTATGACGATTGCAAACACACACATACACAATTGCGTGTGCCAGTTCGACTATCGCCTATTTTGAGCGCGCGCGTGCACTCGCTCCCTCACTCGCATACATATTTAAATTTCGAAGAAAACATATGAACAAAAAACTTACTTGGCCGTTTTGAGTAACGGATGATTATTTCCAACCAATTTCCTTAAATGTAGCGCAACATTGGCCACTTCATCGCTGAGTAGCCAACGTAAGCTTAGAAACGATGTTGGATAACCGACAATTTTTTCAGCTTCGCTTACAGCACGATCCCAATCATGTTTTGGTAGTGCTTTTGTGGCTACCTTCTCCAAATTTGATCCACTGGTCGATGCATACGAACAGCATTGCTGTAGAATATATGGAATACAATCAAAAACAATATCGATGTGTGTTTTTTTGTTGTTGTTGTTATTGTTGTTGTTGCAAATGATAAGAAATCATCGAAAGGAGTGTTTGTCGGTTTTTTTTTTCTTTCGTAAATTATGTTTCTATGGTTTATGGTCTGGCTCATTTGTGTGTGGACACATCATGCTTACCTGATCATTATGGATTTGTTGTGCATTTGATGCCAAATTCCTTTGCAACAATGTATGATGATGACGATTATGTACAGACACTACATTGCGGGCTGGTAATTGATTTGACGTTGTCGTCGACGTTTGCATACAACGCAATCCGTTTACGATTGATGTTGCCTTTGACGAATTTTTTGGCCACAAATATTTTAAACGATAAAACGACATATTTTCGATAAACTTTCTTTTTCTTCTGTTTTGTGTATTGACCGCACTCCGTCCAATGCGACTGTTTCTCTGTTATTGTAACTTGGTTTTTTTCTTCTTCTTTTTTTGAATGAGGTTCAGTGTCAACTCTTTTATTTATATCTATTTTTTATCAATCTCTTTAGGAAACCTCACTTTCACACCCACTTTTAAATTGAGTTCGTCGCCTGTATTTTTTGTTGCTATTTATTTCTAATTTTTGTTGGCTTTCGATGAACCTCAATTCATGGACCGACTTTGATGAATATGTTTGGCATGAAACTCTTTAAACAACAAAAAAAATGATTTTTTTTTTTCACTATTTCGATCACATTGGTGTGACGGTAAACAACTTTCGCGCGGATTGAGTTTTGTTTAAAAAAAAAATAATTGAAAACAAATTAATTGCAGCTTTGATTTGGCCTGTCCTCTGAATCTAATCTGCAAATGAAATATTAGATTGAAATGAATTTAATGCGATTAAGAGAAAAAAAACTTTTTAAAAACAATAATTGTACAGTGTTTCTTTCTTCTGCTACGACGACTAGTGTTAATGTATTAAATAAAACAAAAAAAATCGTTGTGTATTTTTTTTCTTTAGTGAACGAATTGAATGATCCAAACACTTTTCAGTTCAAAGCCAAAAAAAGAAAAATAAATATAGTAAACACATAGAAATGAACAAAAAAAAATGAAATACGTAGTTGAAAGAATGTATGCAATTAACAATCATATAGTATTTCCAAACACACAACTAGTCCATTCATTGAACGTAAATACACTGAAGAAATACCGCACGTTTTTTCGTCTCTCTCACTTTTGGTTTGGTCGAGTCGACGAGAAAACGAAATGGAAAACCAACAGCAACAGCAATTGAGCTGCTGATGAGACACACACCTGAATAAAAACCGAATAATAAACAACAACGTCGACGACGACGACGACCACGATCAATGAGACTACTAAAACCTAATGATTGAAAATCAAAAGTAAAAAAATGTTTTTCTTCTTCTTTTCATTCGTTTGTTTATTCAATATACCTGCACATATTGATCGGATTGCATTTAAAATATCGTCTCATGCACTCTCACACACACACACACACATGTAAACATACCACCCATACAAATTCAGTAAATTTTCATAAATGCCAGCGTGTGGATTGGATCGATGCTGGTAAGTCATGTTGTGCGTTATTCTTCTTACGGTGTTTTCAAATCGAATTATTTTTCTTGCACGCTATACAAAAATTGCATGCGTATGTGCAATCTATCAATAACTTATAAATTCCATGGATTTATCACAATCACACGTACACACATACACAAGCACAAATGTATTGGGAGGACAAAAATCGCTTCGAAAGCTTTTCCTGATCATACGAAATTTTACTGGATTTTGTAAAATGGCTGAGGAAAAACTTTTGAAAATGCGTCGATTTTTTTTTTGCGATCAAAAACAAAAGAAATGCGATTTCAAATTACAAGCACATAAGTTTTATATAAAACTCAAATCAGCTCAAAGCTTCAAAATGTTAACTGAACTCACGCAAAAATAAAAACGACAAAATAATATAGAAATGGAGTGTTAATAATTTGCTCACCACTACGCGACCACCAACAACATTATACTGTATACTGTGTACTATGAATATGGCAATCAACGTCTTTTCATAGTTAACTGTGTACTGTATGAGATCGTTATGTATTTGCGCGTTGAAACTAAAAAAAAAAACGAAGAAATAACTTAACCAACTCCAAATCCAAGCATGCAAAAGTGTGTGTGTTTTTTTTTTCTTTTTAAGATTTAAGCGTGTTTGTGTTTGTGGTATCGTTGTTTGTTTGTAAGTGGTAAGAGTCTCGGCCTATGGAAAAGACGGTTCACGCGATCTACGGCAAAATGAGTAAATACCAATCATTTTGGATACGATAAGTGGCACACACCGATACCAAAGTCATCGTCATTTCACAGTCAGGTGGCAAAAATGAATATACTTCATAAAGGCGCTGGCGCGACCGCGCGCATTCGCTTACCATTGAATGAATCGAGCATGTAAGCTTAAACGAACGATCAAGCTAGAAAGAAAGAGAAAGAACGAGTGTTGCCAGACTGAGAGAGCAAGATCCATAGTAAATGTGTGTATAGTTTTATATGGGAGCCATGCCGAGTGAAATGTAAATGATAGAATACACAGCCAGACCAGACATTAATGCTCAATTCGTACGCACATACGATGAAGACGAAGAAAAAAAAATGCAATGGGAAAAAAGAGAAAAGTGAGAGAAGAGAAAGATACGAAACGAACTGCCACCGAAACGAACCAACCGAAAGAGAAAAGAAGTGGAAGAAAAACAACAAGAAGAAGCAGGCAATGAAATGCCATTTATGAAAATTTATAAAAAAAAGAGAAATTTATTTACATACATATTGAATACACTATTAAAGCAAACCGACTGACTGACTGGAGTCTACCACACTCACATATGATAGAAATCAGACATTTACCTACTTTATGAAGATATACAACACTTTTCACTGATCAGCTCATTTTTACTTGATTTTTTTTTCAATGTGTCATTAGAGTTGGTTCGGTCGCACTCTCGATAACTTATAATATTCGATTTTTTTCTCTTTGCCGTTGTATGAACACTACACACACAGAGAGACACCTGTTTGCATAGATTTTTTTTCAGGTGGGAATAAATATCCAGTGATTTCCAATCAGCCTGATCGCAACGTCGACTCATAAAAGAATCGTAGTTAGCACGAGTTTTAAATAACATCGGCACCAAAAAGACTGGTTCCCTGCATAAATCACATACACATACACAACGACAAAAAATAAGTTCAGCCGATTTGATCGCTTTCAAACGATTTACATCATCAGCCTCTATGCCAGGCAACGATTGGATGATTCAAAGAAAAAACATTCAAAATATACCATTACACAATGTCATGCTTACCGAAAGTGAAGCCGCAGAGAGAAATTGTGAGATATTAAACTATGACCATTCCACACACTTGGGTCTGAATGATAAACTACTCGCACGTATTTCAAACGATCAAAATTCGGGTCTTTTTTTAACATTGTCCATTCGATATGAATATTTAGACATCAGAATATCTCGTATTAACTTGAATGCCGACGAGATTTTTCACATTTTTATCTGTTGTTGTTTACTTTTGCTTTGTTACCATTTAGCACACTTTGTCATTCGCGAAATTTTATAAGTGAAAGTTGTACACAATGTTGGATTTTGTCATTTTTCGGCTAAAATATCGAACGACATGTGCTACACTCTATTGTATTGTTATTATTATTTTTTCTCTTTATTTCTTCAAACAATAAATTAAAGTCTGTACATAAAATAGATTGTGCACTTTGTTTTGAAATTAAAAATTGCTGTTGTTGTTGTCATTTTTTGATTATGACATTTGGAGCTTTGCACGCACATGCATGATAAATAAAACCTGTGCTAAATGTCATACAAATACACATAGAATCCAAGACACTAAGCACGACAGTCATATGGTCGACGAAGTACTCGTACTTTAGCTTAAATACATTTCACATTTTTCTCAATAAGCATATTCACCTTCAGGCAGTAACATGAAAATAAATATAATGATTTATAGCAATGAAACAATTTATATTTCCCGCAAAAAAATTTCTTACTTCATTTGTTGGCAAATTTAGTTTATCTATGATGTTGAGTTTGAATATAATGTCCTATATTTTCTATCTCAGCCTTTTTTTTTGTCAGTAGAAATTCCATTTAGAAAACTATTCAAAGTGCTGAAAACATCACATTTTTAAATCTCACAACTTTACACGATACAAGCTGTAAATATAAAATCAAACAAATTTATTTGTCCATACCAAGTATTAATTCCGTTTATTTGAATTCATCATAACACATAGATGTGACAACTTTTGTTCTTCGAATTAATTTAGTAATCGTCATTATACATTTTTTACTCATAATACGTATTTAGAAAAAATCCACATAATTTGATATTTTTTATTGTTTACATTTTTTTTATTTGCGAAATATAGGTATGTATTGAATGGATCAAACGGTTTCACGTTTTTGTTTTAAATCTAAAATGATTGCAGTTATTTATGAAAAATCACGGAATAAAAAAGGGACGTGTGTGTATGTGTAAAAAACGTGCGAATAGCCACACGCGATTTGTTCGTGCATTTTTGTTTGTTTGTCTGCTTATGCGTATTTTTTTTTAATCAAACATAAAAAATTGTGGCTTTGCTTGTATCGATCAGGTTATGAACGCATTTGGGATTTTTTTGTTTTTCTTAGTGAGATATTTTGTCGATAAATTGATTTAGGATAAGTGATTGAAGCGATTTTCTTCAAAAAAAAAAGTAATTTTTACTATAAATGAGCAAAATTACTGAATAGGAATTTTAATCTCGCTTTCCTTCTTTCTTTGATAAATTCATCAAGTTTCGTTGTATTGGTTTATTTATTTTTTTATTAACGCTACATGAATATGCAGTTTTTTTTTGGATGATGTGACATTCTTCAGTTTTAAGACCAGAAAAAAGCTCTATAAATTTCATTATCATTTGGTTCAAGTTAAGATTTGTTTTCTTTTGCGATGCAATTCGTCTTTTTGTGCTTGTGTGTCTTTTCAAATTAAATTTTGAATACCACATTGATATATACCGGTTTTTATTTTCTCTAAAAAAATTCATTTTTATCACACAATGTCGACATTGAAAAAAAGAATTCACAAAAAATTTGTTCGCACTGGTAATTGTTTGAGCATAAACCATGAGTATCACATTGCAAAAATGAGAAAAAAAAGGTTAACTGCACCATATCACCGATCCAAAACTGATAAGGGAATGATTCATGCGAGAATGAATCTGGCGCGCATTTCAAAATTTCGATTCGGGTTAATTCGGATTTTTGCAGATTTTTGTCATTATCTACCACATAAAATTGCATTATATTTTGTTTAGTTTATATTTACATCAATTATATAAGTCGTCATTTGGGGGATGGGTTTTTTCGATGTGTGCGGAATAATAGTGAAATAACTCAATTGAATATCTTCACAAGTTTTCAAATCTTGTTCAGTACTTTTCGACAATATTTTTACATGCCAAATTGCCACGCATTTAAGAAAATTCAAACAAAACACTTTTTTTCAATAGATGTCTGAATTTTTGTTCAACATTTGACGTGACATTCATTCGCTGTGAAATCTAGCTGAAAAATGGTTTGTGAACAAGATTTAAACGATGTAAAGATTTTCCATGGATATAATCATTATATGGAAATTTTGTCTATATTCTCAAGCTTTTATGTAAAAACAAACACACACACAAACATCGAGACATTGTTTCAATGTTAAATATGGTTGGCTCATCTATTTAAATTTCTTTCATATTGTTTTAGTTCTGTTGTTAATTTTGTTCTATTTATCTTATAACATTTCTCTTAAAAATGAAACACCGTCGTCGCTAAAGCTCGCTAAAATGAATACCATTTAATGTAATATAATGTTTGCAAGAACTAACTCTTTTGTTATTTATATATCACACACATAGAGACAGAGAGATTAATAGATATACAAAGGGCTGTAGTTTATATATATACTTTCTTATTATCGTATTATTATTTTCCATCTAATTTTATCTACGTGTACATTTAAGAAGCAGTTTTAAATGTTTTGAAATTGGTTGTATGTTGTTTCATTTGTGTCTTCATTTTCTCTCTAAATTTTCTTTTGACATCCAACTATCACAGCCCCGCAAACTGTTGAGTTTTAGGTTCAGTAATGCAAATTTGAAATATTAGATTGATGTAGTGTGTGTGTGTGTGTATGTGTGTGTAAATGTATGTGTCCATCCACAATTGATGTGTCTGTCTCTCAAAAAGATGCACTTAGTGCTACATAGTTTTACTACGAAACGATATAAAAAAATGAACAAAAATCGATTGAACATTTATATCAATTTACCTAGAATTATTTTGAACCTGTCAATGATATCGATCCAATTGCTCTGGGTGTCGATTAGTTAATCTATTATTTAATTCTTTGTTTTACTCACAACATTGCATTTGTTTCATTAATTAAAACTGAATTCAGTCTCTCACATTGTTCGGACATCACAACGAAAGAAATGCCTACATAAGAAGAAAAAGATAAGAAAAAACAAACAAATAACAGAAGCAATAAAAAAAACCTCCCTTCGTTTGCACAAGAAACGAAGATTTAAACAGTTCTAAAAATTAAGCGTCACAATGAATTCCTTGCGTCTTCCATGTTCATTTTAATCATAATTACTGATTACTTTTTAAATTATTTGTTTCTTTGTTAGTTTAAAAAAGGCTCGGTTTTTTTTGTATTACAAATATTTACTTCATGTTTAATTGTCATTTGCTTTGACATCAATCGTCCATCGTTCAATGAACACAAATTTTTCGTGTCGATTCCCTTGTTTTTTTTAAATTTAGTTACTTTTCGTATCGAACCGACAAAAGTGAAGAAAAAAAGAGTCGTGCATATTTTTCATCTCTTAAATGGAAGTAAAACAATTCAACAAAGCCTGAAACAATATTCTTATGCTATGTCATGATATTTAAATAATATATTATTTTCCTTCATTTCTATTTCTCTCCTTTTTCATTTTCATTCAAAGGATTTGATGATTAATCAACAACTTTCTGATTCAGAAATTACCACAATTTAAGGCTCAATACTGTTGACTTTTCACAACAATTGAAGAATGTGTGTTTTATATGTAATTTGATTTGATTGGCATTCATGCGTTTGTCATCTCAGCACATTTGCTTCAATAATAATATGTTCAAGTCATCAGTGGGTTTATTTTTGTCTAATCGTCGTTGTCGCTGGTCGTGTTTGCAACAAAAAAAAAATGAACCGTAACAACAGAGAAAACACACACAATATTTCAATGTTCATTCGGTGAGTTGTATATGGTCTATCATCTATAAATGGAAATTAAATGTTTCTATTCATAATTATTTCAAGAGAAATGAAACAAATATGAATATTTAAGATTAAAAAAAATCATAACATCAAACAGAAAAAAATGAATGTACAAAACAAAAGAAACGAAATGCAAGAGAAACAAATAACTAAAAATTATAAATAAAACAAGCAAAAAATGACTCCAATCGGCATTACTCATAGCACAAGAAAGGTATGTATTTTTGTTCTCCCCAATTTTAGCGGTTCGAATGATTTAAGTGTTCTTTTTTTTTTTGTTTTAAATGTAAGTATAATAATTTATAGACAATTTTTTTAATTCATTTTTCCACTAATAATAATAATGTATATATATATTTTTTTGTCTCAAATAATTTGTGTTCAGTTCACATATAATTCTACAAATCTCGGTATTCGATTAATGCACAAGTTTCTTTTTCTTCGCTCATCATCTCGTTTATTTTTCATTATTAAATTTCAATATTTTTCTCTTTCTGTTGTTGTCTTTGAATAGGAAAATAAATTGAACAAAATGAATGAAGAGACGTCCTATTTTTCGTCTGTTCATTTTCGATATTCAACATAAAAAATATTCAGTTGAGAATCAATTTCTTTCTTATGAGATGCTTATAATTTGCCTAAATTATTAAATTCAATTGATCATTTCAACAACATCGGTGATTTTTTTTTTTTGTTTCCGATAATTAATTTACACTGATTATGAACTTTCTGCGAACGAAAACTGTAAGGGTTTTTTGTTTCATTTTGTATCAAAATTGAATGAAGAAGAAATGTTTAGATTGTTGGTTGTCAAAAATCAAATTCAGAAGAGAAACAATAATTGGAAAAATTTATTGAAGCAGATATGTTGGACATGTGGTGTGTGTGTGTGTGTCTAAAGCGAAGACCACACAATTTTCGTTCAGAATGTGATTCAAGTAGGTCACGTTTTTATAACAGCCTTTATAGCATAAAAATATGCAAAAAAATACCAACAAATAAATATGAAGAAATTGCTCCACGTAAACCGTGCATATTAGCTTCTGATGATGTAAACAGGGAATTAAACGTCCCACTCATTGGTTCTTCGTCTATTTTTGATTGTTTTCGATGAATATTTGAATTGAGCCTTCTTTTTGCTATGTACGTATGCTTCTATTAACCAGTGATAATAGAAATGATGCGTGTGAACGTTGAAAAATTGAGAAAAAGGAAAGCGGCGGTGGTGGAAAGTTTGTGTAATGAATTATGTTATGTGAAAGAGAATATGCTGTATAAGTAGTCGTAAAAAATACCTAACATAATCCATTCGTTCTTGTTCTCACAAAAAAGTATATGTACAAAATATTTGTTTCTTGTTTTTTTTTTTCTTCATCTTTTTTTAGGTTTTAAATTTGATATGAACATATCACAAATCATAGTTTAGCTTCATGTTCGTGTATGTTTTGTTTTTGTTCTTTCTCCATTTCGTATTATTTTTTTTTAAACGTTTTGTATGGGCATCGATCGATGTTGAGGTTGTAATTCTTTTTGGAGTTTTTATTGCAATAAGTTTTGAATTAAAAGGTGGAATTTTATAGTTTTTGTTTTGATCGTTTGAATTGAGAATATTTTTGTTTCATTCATTTTTAATATGTGTTCTTTTGCTTTCGACATCCCAACAAGAGTTTAACGGGAAATCAATTGGTATGCACGGTATATAAAAAAATGTTCAAAAAGAGAAAAGGACTGTTTCTCATTTTGTTTATTGGCGCTTGCATGCTTAACGGTCACTCGTAGGTTACATTTTTTTTCTTCTTTTTTTTACAATACACAGGTGTATTTATTTACAAAGTTTATCTTCATTTCAATTCACATGTGTGCGCACACACCTATTGCTGTCTCGCTCACTCCATTGCCATACTTTGTTGTTGATTTTATTTTCTCCATTTTTTTTTATTATATTATTTATCTTAAACGCTTATTTCGTTCATCTATTAAATAAATTCTAACAAATTTTATTTACTAAAAAATTAAGTCTGACCCTAATTGTGTATGCGTTTCATTTTGTGTCTGTTGTCAAATTAATTCATATTAATTTATTTATTTTTTGTTTATCATTAAAAACAATTACAATACTCTTGTATGTGTGTTTCACGTGATTTCGTGTGTTGAGTGTTTTTGTGTGATTTTTTGCTTTTGGTCGTTGTTGCATTTGAATTACTTTTTTTTCACCGGGGGGTGTATATTTGTGTTTGAATTATTTTTTTTTAGTTTTGAGCGTATAAAAAGAGTCCGAAAAATTATAATTGTTATATGTGGAACAGTATACAATGACCTTTAACACATTAATTTGGTCATTGAGTTTTTTTTTACTACTTGTCTTCATTGTTTGTTGTCTTCTATATTTCTTGCTTCTTCTTTTGTTTTGCTTTCAAGAGTGCCTCGAATCAAATCTTACAAAAGATAACGAACGAATCAGCTGCCAAATAACTTGAGTTGACACATTAAAACGGCTTATCGTTTCACAGTATTTTTTATACGTCGCTTATTATATCAGTTGATTGGTCTGTGGGTGACGACGACGAATCTTCTGATGATGATGTTAAATTGGCATCGGAATCTGACACATTCAAATCGTTGATAACCGATGTATTTTCATTGTGTTCGTTGGAAGTGTTATCATTTTTATTATCGATCGTCTCCTTAGCATTTCTATACAAATAAATGACAAAAGACATTGATGTAGCATGAAAATCATTCATACGGAATTGAAAATGGGAAAATGAGTTAATACTCACGATTCATCTGTGAATGGTCCGTTGTTTATGTCAGTCTCGACCGGTGATGTTGTGGTCGTGGACGTGATGGTTGTCATTGTTTCATTTTTTGGTGAAGCCGCATTCGTGGTGCAATCAACTAATTTACTCTCTTTGTCATTTTCATTGTCGTCTAGTTTACTGCTAACTAATTCCTTTTCTTGCAATTCGGCATTATCAATTTGTTCACTCGCTGATGTTGTATAACTGATCGTATTGGCATTTTGTACAGACGCATTTGTCTCTTCTGAAATTTTATTTAAAACAAAAGGTCAGAAAGGAATTCCACTTGTTGCCTATTGATTAATTGATCTTCTTATGAAATAGATAGCTTTATCAGATTTCTTACGTTTTTTTTTTTAAAAAAAAGGTAATTTAACATAGGTATTGATCCAGTTTTCGAGGGTCCTGCTTGATCCTAATTTGTTTTTTTTTTTTTTTTTTGATAATTCTTTCGATATTATTTAGACCAAAAATTTTCTCACCGTAATCACCTTTTATCCGAGTGGAACCAACATTTTTTCACAATTACCCCCTTTGAATTTTTGCCACACCTCTAAAATCTTTGGCATCAACACCTATGACTATTTAAAAAAAAAAAAAAGGTTGAAGAAAATCGTCTTACCCGTCGTTTTCTCCGCATTGAATTCGTCGGTTGTTTGTACGGTGTCTATATCACTAACAACCGAAGCCCATCGTTTGATATCTTTAGTGTTCTGTACTCGAACTGGTGACGAGTCTATAAAGTGAAATTAGACATCTCATTTCTGTCAACTATAAAAATATAAAAATATTAAAATGATCTATTCACCTGATGAGCTTGGATTTTTGTTATTATCGTCGTTCCATGATGAGTACGCGTTTGGATTGTTGCTGTTGGCCATCTCATCGTTTCGATTGTTATGGTTATTTTGTTCAAGTGGCGGAAATGCGATGTTATCGCTTAGCTGAAAATCGCTAAAATGCGAATCAAAATCGGCCCAATCGGTGTCATTTTTTGGTAATATTGAATCACTCAAATTGCTACTCGTTGGAAATGTTGAGCCGCTGCTGCCAAATATATTATTGTCACTGATATCATCACGAAATTCGTTCATCAGCTCATCGAAATTGTATTTGATATCCGAATCACGAATATCGAATGTGCTGAGATTTTGCATACTGCACCTTGCCTCGAATAAACGTGTTGCCGTATCATTTATGTCGTCAACAATATTATGTGAATTTGCTTCAATGTCGTTATAGTAATCGCCGGTAAAACTTTCATCTTGAAAATCTTTTGATGCGCTCGTATCGTAGGAATCACTTTGATTTGGATCGATGCCACCCAAATATGATTTTTGCTGTTTGAGCGCTGACACCAAATATCCATTATTTGGATCCGTTACTAATTTCCAATAAGACAGTTCGTCTTCAGTTAAATTTGATTCAACTAAGGCACGAAATTGGTGTGACACCAATACTAATAAATTTAATGAATCGAACATATAAATTAAATGGCCCATGTAACCAAGTCGACGGCCATTCTCTTTTGATCTACAATAGAAGGTAAAGGACAAACAAAAAATGAACAAATGAATCCATGGAAAATGTCCGTACTAAAGTGTAATCGCTTACTGTGATTCATCGTTGTGCTTCCAGCAATCAATTAACTTAGATGCAACGTTACACTTTACTAAAATCTGTAAAATTACAACCGAATATTTGGTATCAATTATCATGATTAATCAACAATCAACGAAATGCTTACATGAGTTTGTAAGGCAGAGGGTGTGCATGTATTATCATCACCATGCACAAATGCACTAAATGCGTACGAAAAACATTTTTTTACTTGACTATGCAAAATATTGTTCCAACAGTATTGCTTAAATAGGTCGAGCAAAACATTAAAAAAGTCCGTTTCGCAAATTCTAAAGAAAAAAGAAATTAAATCCAGATTTATCCACAGACACCAATAAAGTGAGTGAGAAAAACTTTAAGAAAATGCACAAAGATCTTACGCGTCGATAATATCTTGATTTCCCGTTTCAATTAATACTGATAACAGTGTACATATGTGCAATCTCGTGCTACCGAATGGCGGCGACAATAGTGTTACTGTATTCCTGATGTCAAATTTCTGCCGAAAAAATCACAAAACCGAATGAATTTCATTCGAAATTGATTGATATTTTGAATTCAACATCATATTTACGTCACTTACCGTTGGTGGGTTCACAAGTAGTTCATGTAACTCTTTGACACGTGGTTTAATTTGTTGCACAATGTTTGCGATAATCCGTTTGTGATGCTCTTTTTCCGCATCGGCCAAATACTGTAAAGCCGTGTCCGATGCCGGTTCATTACTAAAAAAAAAGTTACACATTAAAACCATACCAATAATTAATGTCAAAGAATTCAGTAACTTCTTTGAGAATTTTATGCTTTGTTCTCATCGTCATTTATAAGGAATCACCATTGAAATCACAGCGAACGGAAGTGCGCAAGAATCATGAAACCATCACGCGCTATAGTGTTCGCTATGTATTCATGTGAAATTTTGAATACAAATCTTAATCTAGCAGAATGTTTCTTTGTATAATAAATTCACTTACATTATCGGATTTTCCAATAGTTTCAAGATGATGGTGATGCCAGATACAACGGCACTTTCTGTTTTATTCGATAAAATTAAGTCTAACAGTAAATCCGTAGTCGATTCATCTTCCAGTATATGAATGAGTGGATCATTTGAATCCGTGGCACTGTCACTATAACCATAACCTCGTTTCTGTATTTCATTTTGTCGTGCACTTCGTCCAGTTGAAATCAATTCACACAATAAATTGGCAATATTTTGATGTTTATCAGCGTCGGCCTCATTGCCAAGCATACCAATTAAATTGCACACCAATTGTTGTTCGCTAAGCCATTGAAATAGTGAATTTCGCAGTTCATCACCTTCGATCGATGTTATAATTTGAAATAATAAATCAACAACAACAGGTGCGCTCATATGCTTATAAATTGTATTCAAAAAACCCGGACGTGATTTTATAAATTCGAGCATTTGCAAACAAACACATTGATACGAAAACCAATCTTGATCCGATTTCTTTGATAGTAGCATGCCAAATGTTTTACTACAGAATGATGTAAGCAACGGATTCAATGGCGGATCTTGTTCCAAAAAGGCATAAAGTTTCTCCAACGTTGAACGACTGCTTACGAGACGTTCAATTAAAACTGGCACTTCACTGGTTAGAATTTCGCACGCAATGTTCGAATATTTAAAGCGTACATTATCAGCAACATCCGATGGTGGTTCGGTTGTGATCATAGATACCAATTCATCGATGATTTCAGCTCGATGTAAACTACGGATAAAACAACAAACAAAAATTTCAACAAATTTAAACAGTGGCCAAAAAAACTACCGTTTCAAATTACAACAAAGTTATTTTCAAAACAATCACTTACAATTGGGTTAGATTTTTGTTCTGCTCTTTATAATCCTGCAGAATGTCTTCATCGTCAAGCAGTTCTCTCAGCGTCACATCCTATCGATAAAAAAAAAAACAATTTATCACAAATTCTCAAAGCAATTCAAAAAAAAAATCATTCTATTGATTACCTCTTTGTTTAGTAAAGTGTCAATGCTCTTTGAATATGAATTCACTTCCCAAAACATTTTGTTTTACACGATAATAATTCGTTTTAATAACAATTTACTGAAAATGAACAATAAAACAAATGAATGGTTAAGTGTGTGGCGACACATATAAAATATAGGAAGGGGCGGTAGTGGGTAACATATTTCAGTCGATAATTTGAATAAATGATCAATATGTGGTGACAGGAAAAAACAAAAACATAATGCAATTCAAACATAAACTCACCCATTTGAATAATCACAGTAAAATCATTAGCAAATAATTTACTACTTAATTATATAAATTTGAAGACCGAATTTAATACCACAATATTTCCGTTGAAGTTTTTTCTCTTATTTTCTTGTTGTAATTTGTTGTGATTTATTGTTCTTTTTTAGATGCAATCTGAAAATTAGAGACACAGAGAAAGAGATAACAAGACCGGTGGTTAAATCAATGATATGACAAAGAAATATTGTGTAGAACCGAATTTTTGTATTGTCCTTGCAATAAATTAACTGTCGATGTGGAGATAATGAGACTGTAGCGTGCGCTGTCAACACATTAGAAATGGAATATGAGTAAATGATGACAGTGCTCAAGATTGAAACGAAACCAAAAAAACAACAACACCACACAACAACTATGCAACATTTCACAAAATTATGAATTGAAAGTGATTTCTTTGCGCGAATTTAATTCATATTTGCGATAAACAATACGCACACAGATGGTTTATATCATTCTTTTTCTTTCTGTCGCTTTTTTTCACTTCATTTCAATTGTAGGCAGCAATTTTTAATCACACTTAAACACACATACATCGATTCAAGGAAATAGAAAAGAAGTGAGTCAAGTTTTCGGTGTATTTTTTTTTTGTTTCACTTATTGGCGATGAATCGTTGTTCCACTTGTTTTATTGTGTGTGGAAATGTAATCGTATGTGTTGCTATTCTTCTCGTTCATCATCATCAATCAACATTTGATATATTTAATTCAATGTTGCTTTCGGCAATTCAGGCGCTGAATTTTCAATTCTTCTATACATGCTTTCAAATGGTAATGTTGCGTGTGCTCCAGTATTTTTGTGCGAAAGCACACACTCATTCCGTCTGGATACAGCACTAAAAACAAATGAGCAACAAGAAAAATACTATATACACATACATGACCGAAAGATTGTTGTTTCTGATGCTTTTTTTTAGTCATATGTGAGATTTTAATTCAGCTTTATTAGTTTGTGAGCTCTGAATTCATGGAGTGCGCTGAATGGTGTTGTGTTTATACATGACTGTTTATGAAAGTGTGTGTATATGAATTTTTATCGGGGGAACACAGTGTCATGTATATGTATTTGTTGCACATGATATTTTCAAAGTTGAATGCACAAATTCATAACAAAAAAATTTCTTTACAACAAGTGCACTGCACAAAATTCCCTTTCGAAATGCCGTGCATACAAACAATTTTGCTCGATATTTTCTCGATTGCATACGGTGTGATTTTGATATCATAGTTTAATGTTATCCGATCCCATTTGAATTTATCGGTTTCATTGCTTTTGTTCGTTCTCTTTGGCTCACACGGATAGAGCGCAGTGATAACAAGCGAACAAATGGCAACAAAACCATGCTTCAATTTTTTTTTTGTTCAACCATTTTTCTTTTTTCCCCTTTCTTTGTCTCTCAATGGTTGATTTTTTTCGGTGAATCGACTTTCTAATACGATACGGCCAATATAATGGTACATACCTGCACCGATTAGGTTAATTTATTATAATAATGAAATTATAACAATAAGTTTAGGATGAGCTGCATATCGTACGAATAAGCATAGAGCGAGAGAAAGAAAGAAAGAAAAAAGAAGTCAGTGAGAATATTCAACTGAACGATCAATGGCTATTTTTAACACCTCGTTTTTATTATCAAAATGACAAAAAAAATCTGTTTAAAATTGACGAGCTTATGTTTTTCCCTTCCGTATGGATGTATGTGTGCGGAAAAAAGGAGAGAAAGTGTGTGTGTGTGTATGCATTTTATGAGCTGCTATTGCTGTTGTTGATCTCAAAAAAAAAACGACAAAGAAAAGTCGACTGAACTTTTTGCAAGTCTACAAGAGTTTGGTCGTTTTTAGTCGAAGTGTTTTGTGTGTGTTGTGTGTGTTTTTTTTTGTCTCTTTTTCTTTCTCTTGCACAAAATGACGACCGAATTTTTCAATAATACACCATTATTAATTCACTCATTTCACATCGAATGCAATTTATTTCACTCACAACATAATTTAATTGCAACAACAATACACCAAATCACAAATTTAGTTTGAATTGAAACTATTTACGATTTTTACTTATTCGCATAATGGCGCTGTACAATGTATAATTGAAATGTTCTCACATTCGTATATGAAAAACAAGCAGCGCGACCGTTCCACAAGATTAAAAGCAAAAACTTCAGTCAGAAATGACACGGGAACGAAAAAAAAAGATGGGAAACACACGCTGTGGTGTGAAAGTCTTGGATCTAAAGTACAATTGACAATTCGTACTAAAAATATGTAGTGCATGTAAATTCTGAAGTGCGCTTTAAAAGCAAACAATTTTTTTAGATAATTATCGAATGAATTGCATTTGAACATCGGATAGCATTCAAAACAAATTAAACATGGATTATGCTGTTATATACAACCGATATATCCAAAATGAATTTTACCCGCCGAAAATTCAAATCCAAATGTCATTATTCATACCTTGAACATTTTAGTATGTTTATAGTGGATATGCGGTGACAGTTCATAAAATGCGTACTAAAATCGAATGTGATGTTTTGCTCATCAAAGTACTAGCGTTAAGTATAATGTTCTATAAAATGTGATAAATTGGCTCGTGTATTTGCACTTGGTGTATGTGTGTTTTGAATTTCGAGAAAAGTTCGGGCATTTTCCATGGACAAATACATTTTAAATAGAAAATTCGACAGAAAAACAAAACCACATCGTGCGTCTAACTAAATTGACATTTTTTTTCATTCTGATTTTGGTGAATTTTCACAACGATTGTGTGCACACTTGTGTGCAAAGAACAACAGCAACGCAGAAAAAAAACGTGTGTGTAAACGGAATTTTTTTTTGTGTATATCAGAAATTGCGCGAAAGAACAACGAGTTTTGTATTTTGATTTTGGATTGATTTGGTTGCAATTATCATTTAAATCGCACATATATGATGTATATGATGGTGTTTTTTTCCTTGTTATCGAATTGATGTGTTATTGTTTCTTGTGTGTATAACTAGCAGTCGCATTTTCTCATTTGCCAGTGATTGAGTGTATGAAGGAAAAATATATTGTTGTATATAGGCATTGACGACATATGTGAAAAGTGTGGTTAGGTTTGTGACTAGTGTCAAAACCTCGAATTTCATCAAGTGTAGTAATACCGTACCATTGGCTTACGCGCGTATATAGTATATTTATTGCACATATATACGATCCGTATGATTTTGCCGTCATTCATAGAGTTTATTTAAAAAGTGTGATTTAAGTGATAAATGTGAAAAAAAAGAAGTTGAATTTTTGTTGTGTGTTCGTCAAATAATTCCGATAATTGTTCCGAAGGGAGGGAATTGCTAATGGCTGCATCTGGCATAATAATGGCTGCATCGGCTGATGATGAGACTATTTTACAAGGACGAGATTTACAATCCATATTCCAGCTATGGGAACGAAAACACTCAACACCCGGTTTCGATCCAGAAATCATTTTAACCAGGTATTGTGACAATGCTTTCTAAACCAAATTCAATTCAATTCAATTAACGCTGTCAACTGTGATTTATGTGAACGACGCATGCAAAATTCCACGACGATGACACTCTCTTTTTATTTTAAATGAAAATATGTTTGTTTACTGATTTCAATCCAATTTCAATGCCATTTCAGATTGTCCGAAATTTTCGAAGAAGAAACAGAAATTTATATGTGCAAAGATCCTGATCCGTTTGATGAACGACATCCATCGCGTACAGATCCCGAATGTGAATTGGGTCGCATGTTGAAGCTATTATTTCGTAAGGATCATTTCATGACACGTTTGGTCAATGATTACTTACGTGACAATTATTTTACGCGCCAAAGCATTCAAAAGAGTTCACAGTCACTTAACATTGCCGCATGCCGTTTGATTTTATTGATTATGCCTGGTTTGGAGACATCGGCAGTATTTCAGGTAAACTATTTTTATATGTTTGTTCATGAGGCACTTTCAGCCATTACATTACATTTGGAATAAAAGTGAACAATAAAAATCAATTATGATTCAAATCGATTCACTATTCACTGACAGTGTGAATTTTATTTTCGTGTTCAGGCGGAAAATGATAATTTAATCCAGCGTCTGTACAATTGGGCAGAGGAGAGTGCTGAACCATTGCGAAGCTATGCAACAGGTCTTTTGGGTGCTGCAATGGAAGTGCAGGATATTGCAATTGGTTTTCGAGAGAACAATACACGTTTGGTGCCGATTGCATTACGACGATTGCACACCCTTCAAGCTGAAGATCGAACCGCAAAACAGGCGGAAATATTGGCCAATGGTCAAACCGATTATCATCCAACATCAACAAATTCACAACGAACGATATCCAGAAAGAGTTCAACAAATGTTGAAAACAGCAACGATAGCAGTAATGTAACGTTTAATAATTTAACCGATTTATGTCGACCATTTGAAAAATTTGGAACCGATTTGGCATCAAGTGCATCAGTACCAAGTAGCCCAGAAACGCGCAGTCCAAAGCACAACGGTGCCCATGTTCCAATATTTCGGAATACAATCAATGTATCCGCACTTTTTGAAAATAGTCAACAAAGTTGTGATTTTAAATATAACGTACGATATTCGATTCCAATACATCCGTCAACATCGGAAACCTATCAAATGTTAACACTACGGTACTTAGCATCGCTCGGAGAATATCAAGAATTTTTGGGTCAAGTATTTGAACATAATGCACTTCAGTTGATTTTTCGCTATATTGAAAATTTAGATCCGAAAAATACATGCCTCGCATTTGAAGCGCTCAAATATTTGGCATCGTTGTTATGCCACAAAAAATTCTCATTGGAATTTATCAACAATGGCGGTTTGGAACGATTGCTTAAAGTGCCTCGGCCAAGCATATCGGCAACAGCCGTTTCAATTTCACTATACTATTTGGCATACTGTGAAGATGCAATGGAACGAATATGCCTGATGTCACAACAAGTCATACCCGAAGTGGTTAGCTATGGATTGTGGCTGCTATCGAGTGCACATGATTCGGGCAGATGTCATGCAACAATGTTCTTTGGGCTATCATTTCAATTCAAGCTGTTCCTCGATGAATTTGATCGACAAGATGGACTAAGAAAACTGTATAATGTCGTATGTATTCTGATTACTTTTGTGTTTTACATGGATTTAATGCGATTTTGTAGAGTATTTGATTTTGTCATTGTTTTGTCTATTTTCGCTTTAGATATCGGTTCTTCCTATTCTTGGAACAGAAGATCATAATCTTAACGATGACGATGAATGTGCTGCACGTCAAATGGTTCGTCATGTTTGTGTTGCATTAAAACGCTATATGGAGAGTCATTTGTTCTACAAGTACACACAACTATCGCGATTGAATGAACCAACGGTGTCGGCAGCAAATGCAGCACCATTGTTCAGAGTAAGTTAATGACACATTTGAAGAGAGAAATAAATCATGTTCGATTTTGTTTTCTATTATTAATAATTAAACATTGTTCGAACGTGTAGGCTCCGAAATTCACATTGGAAATGATCATGGAACAAGCGACAGCATTGCAAGAACTATTGCCAATTAGAATGCGATGGGAGCCGGTTGAAAAGATTTTATCATTAAATGGTGTTCAATTGATGTTACGTGTAATCGCCTATTCATACGAATGGAGCTTCAGTGGAAGGTAAACAGATATATATATATACTTTTGTAACTGTTTTTTTTTTTTAACTATTTCTTCATTTAAATGATTTTAATGTGTATTTGTGATTGTGTCGTTTCTTTTTTTACACTCTTCTAAATGGCCTATCAGTTTCTCTTCTAGAGCTGAAACCGTGCGTTCAGCCTTAGATGTTTTGGCCATTTGTTGTGTCATACCAAAAGTTCCTGTAGTATTTTGTGAAAAAATGGAGTTACCGGATGAACCATCAGCGGCTGGTATTAATTTCATACTGGGTGCATCGGAAGGTGAAATTGTGGCCGATGCCGAAGTGCAAAAGTCTGCTTTGGCCGTTTTGGTGCATTGCGTATGCGCTCCGATCAATATTGTATGTATCCTTTACTCTTATTTACTTTTTCATCACACTTCAAATATTTAATTTCGATTGTTTGTTCTTTTCCAAATCAGCCACAATCAGCCGTTCGTTATGGTACGAGCAAAACAAAAGCACCAAATAAGATGCTCTTGGATATGATATCAAAAGTATGGGAGAGTGTTCGTTCAAATAATGGTATAATTGTACTGTTACAATTGATGGAAATCAAAGTGCCAATTACAGATGCTGATTGCATACGAGGTTTGGCATGCCGTGCAATGGCCGGTTTGTCACGTTCCGATACGGTTCGTCAGATCGTCGGTAAATTGCCATTATTCACAAATGGCCTCTTACAAAGTCTTATGCGAGATCCAATCTTACAAGAGAAACGTTTCGAACATGTTCAATTTCAAAAGTATGCATTGGAATTACTAGAACGTGTGTCGGGAAAGACAAAAAGTTCCAATCAACTTGATACATCGTTGGCAAATATTCACAAAGCAAATGTCGTTGCACAGACAAAAATCCAATTCAACGATCAACAATTGTATGAATTGATTTACGATCATTTGATGTCGAGGGGCTTAAGTGAGTCGGCAAATATTTTGCAAAAAGAAGCAAATCTTCCAAACAATATTGGTTCATCGAAAGTATCAAGTGCAGCATTTCATTCACCATTTTCATTTCGAACACCAACAACACCGGCAAGTCGTTCGCGTATTCGAAATAAACCAAGCGACTTTAATGCAGCCCTAAATGCGCTCGACGCCCCAACACCAATGGACCAAACAATCACAACGAATGGTGAATTGAATGGTCAACAAAATTCAATTGCTGATCCATTATCGATCGGCATACCACCAATTAAATTAATAAAAAAATCCACCGGACCTCCAACACCCACTCATAATTCACAACAAAATCATCATCCACATTATCAACAGCGATCGTTACAAAAACAAATATCGGCCGTTGAACCAACAACACCAATTTATACGGGTTTTGCGGCCAGAGCGCAACAACCAAATGGCGTTCATACAAATTCATCGAAAAATGTAACGCTCGAGACAATAATCACCGAATATTTAACGAATCAACATGCTTTGTGTAAACATCCAATGTCAACATGCCCACAATTTGATTTGATTGTACCACATAAATGTCCAGATCCACGAACAAATAAAGTATCCGGAATGAGTACGAATTTTGCGGCACGATTTTTCCGTCAACAAGCTGGTTTCAACGGTCGACGACTGGATCGTCGATTAATTCATTCAAATTTCTGTGCAGCCCGAACAATTCGAGCCGAAGATCCAGATCTATTTTTTATTTGCTGTGACATTGCACCGTGCGCAACAAGCGTTGCGGTCGGTTCATACAATGGCGAAGTTAAAGTTTATAATATCAACGAAAGTGGCGAAGAGTTTTCATTCAGTTGTCACGATTCATTTATTAGCAATATTAAATACAGTCGAGATGGAAATTTTATTGCAACATCAACGACATGGCGTCAACCGTTGTCCGCACTGTGGAGCATTGAAAATAAACGATTCAATATGAAATTACGATGGGATGATGATGAATATATGGAATTTGCCAATATAACCAATGATCGAATCTTAGGTACAAAAGGCGAAAAGGCCACCATTTATGACTTAAACACCGGACAGATGGTCAGACAATTTGTGCCAAGTATTTATAATCAATATTCGAAGAACAGAGCCACATACTATCCAACCGATGAATTAATTTTATCAGGTGAGGAAAGGACGGTGAATGGAATTGTCTATTGGAATTATATTTAAATGCATTTTTGCTTTAATTTCACTAGATGGTGTACTATGGGATGTACGATCAGGAAAAGAAATTCATAAATTCGATAAACTTAATCAGGCCATCTCTGGTGTATTCCATCCAAATGGACTTGAGGTAGATTTCACTATTTTTATTTAAAAATAACGATGCCAGTCAGTTCAAACAATTTGTTTGAATTTCAGGTCGTTTCAAATACAGAGGTATGGGATTTGCGAACGTTCCATCTGCTGCGAACTGTGCCAACATTAGATCAATGCCTGGTAACATTCTCACCGCTTGATGTCATCTATGGTATATCATACTCAGAGGTTGAAAACCGATTCGACATGGATCAAGTTAGTTTCAGTTATGAGCCTAGCTTCAAGACGTTAGACAGTTATGACTATTCAAGCATAGGTTGGTTTCACTTAAATCTTCTTTTTTTACCGTTTTCACTTTGATTAAATCGACTTGTTTGTGTCTTTTTGTTTCTATTGCAGCAACTCACGACGTAAAGCGTGACATTTATGATTTAAGCATTAATAAATATGGAAGTCAAATAGCCATTGTGGAAAATCAAGGTGATTACGAATCAGTTCAGGAATCGGCTGTGAGAATTTATTCGGTGGGTCGTCGGAAAAATATGGAAGACGAAGCTGAAGAAGACGATGAAGATATGGGAATGTCGGATGATGGTTCATCAGACAATGATTCAGTTGGTTAGTATAAAAACGATGCTCTCAAATGAAAGCAAATCGGAAATTAATCGATTTCAACCTTTTTTCGTATCTATGTGGAAATATCTTTTTTCAATGTAAGAGTTAAATTTGGTTTTGTCTAGGTAACGAAAGTCGGAGAATGCCATTGGTTCCGTTCTTAGATGGTGACAGCGACGATGATCCCGACGACAATGCTGATGATTCCGACGATTCAGATGACAACTTGGAAGAATGGCTGAATAATTCAGGTATTAAGAATTTTTCTTTCAATTTTTTACGAAATTTTCATTCCTTAATCTGAATGCTAATCGTAAACTATTCTATAGGGAGTGATGATGATATAAATATCTTCAATATTGAGGCCGCAGGTATGTTTGACGCAACATCAAAGATAAACATTGAAATCAATTTATTTAAAAATCATTTTATTTCTGCGCATTTCAGATGGCCAAGGAAACAACGTAGATGATGCTGATGAAAGTGCACAATGGACTACGACCGACGATGAAGATGGCAACGATTAAAATCAGCGAGAACAGATAGATATAGGAAGAGAAAAAAATTGTGCGTCTGCGGGGAGGAAATCGAAAACAGTTGTCAAGAAAGAGAGAACACGAGATTAAAATCAAAATAAATTGTATTCAAATCAACCATTTTGAAAAGTTTTGTTCTTTATCTGTCATTTACTCTGTTAAGTGATTTCAAATAAATTTAACACTTTAGAATAATCTTCAAAAGATTTTTTTACGTTTGTTTGTAATAGGGATTCAAATGTTTTGAATTCAAAGCATCTAAATTAAGTGAAATGATGATTATAAAATAAATGCTTGTAAATTATGAAACAAAAATTACATTGCAAAAAAAGAAGCAAAATACTGAGAAAAACAACACCATTTTCAAGTCATTATAAATAAATATGAATAAATAAAAAAAACAGTACATTTTCTGGGGGTTTTATTTTGACTTTGTTTATTATTAAAATGGTGGAGAAATCATTGGGTATTAATGCCAATCTTCTTACCAACATAGTTTCACACTCGAGAATTTTCAATTTATCAAAAAAAACTACACAATTTATATTTGTTATTCTTTTTTTTACAAAACATGCAGTGTTGTTACGTACTTTTTAAAATAATTAAGAAAAAACAATACTTTATATTCGTTTGAATTGTACCCGAAGAATCAATAAAAATTTAGCGAATCATTTAATGTATAACAAAAAACAAATGTTTTCCAAAAAACCAAGTCACAACAAAGAAAATCATATACATTTTTTTGGGAGATTGATCCTTGTGACACTTAAAACTAAATGTATTATTGAGCTCACATTTGTTCTTGAATTAATTGTCGAAAAAATTGAAACGTGTAAAACAATTTGAAACGAAAATTCACTTTGGAGCATCCTGTAAAAAAAGACTTTTAAAATTAAAAAAAAACGTGTTCTATGATTTTCCAACAATAGATTTAATGGGCTGTTTCTTCGAAATGGCCATAAGTTATTTTTGTTTAACTTAATAATGATTCGATTATAAAAAATGTCTGTTTCCCCATTCTTTTTCATAAAGAATTAATTAAAACAGATTAACTTAAAAGAATTTAATCTACTTGACAAAATTATGCCAAACAGAATGAAAGTCATGTTGAAAGCAAAATGTAATATAATCTTGGAGAAAATGAGTGTTTTCTGTCAACGGTTCATATTCAGTTCGCGTCAAAAGAAATAATTGTAATCAGAATAAATAAAAAAAATTAGATTTTTTGTAATTCATTCTGTTTGGTGGAAGTAAAAAAAGTGATGATGTGAATCTCTTTAGAGGTAAAACAATCGATTGTTGAGCTGCTCGGCTGGTTCACGCTTCAACGAATTTCCAACCAAGAATGCCAATTTGTGTGCATATTGACAACAAGCTGGCACACGAACAGTACCTGAAATATAAGTCATATTTTAAAAAAGCATTCGAAGTAGAATGTAATGAACTTTATCAAAACATGTAACCAATGGCCAATTACCTGGCCAATTGTAGTAAAGGAAGCACAATTTGTACGTGAGCCGTTGTAAAACATCGGGCGGGAAATTACTTTCATCCTCAAGTGCGACACCTATAAAATGATGCGATTTCATTTAGTTGATAACATTTACCGAATGTTTCTTATTACTTACAATGAGTTGGCGTGACTGTACCTTGGCGCACACTTTGTGGCACCAAATAGAAGTCATAAAGACCGCGACGTGTGATTGTGTGATCCAAGACAGCACCTGGGTTTGGATTTTCGGCTTGTGCTCCTTTCTTCACATAGAATCGAGCGTTGATGCGCTTTTGTACCACCACAAATGTGAATGGTGGATTGTAATCTTCCGACATGGTTGAACACGCTTGTTTAAGCTGCGCCAATTCATAATCTTTAACTGCTCGTAGTTGGCCGTCACCAACACCATCGCTAAAGAGAGAAAAGACAGAATAATAATTAAAAAGATTTTTTGCTCATACCAAAGCGTATTTTTCTTTTTTTCTTCAAGAGAAATTACCGGAAAATGATGATTTTGCGAGGTAATTGGTTGTTGTTGACCTTCTTGTAATATTGCAATGCATGTTGCAATGAAACGACTAATCCGTGAACTAATTCCTCGTTCTTCGATTGGACAACAGCTTTGCTGTACCAATTGGTGTATGTGTCGTTGGTGCTGGCAACAAATGCGCTTACCGAGCCGGATTTTTTATCGTGGTGCCTTTAAAATGATGTCATTTAGTTGATAACATTTTATCAGATATTTTAATTTACTTACGTGTCGATGCCAATGATCATACAGTTTGCCAACGGAATTTTAATGCTCCACAAACTTCCGCCAAGCTTACAGTTCATCTGAAGTGCGATCTTTTGCACGATCGACCGATTTTTCTCCTCTTTACCTAATGTGCGAGCATTGATCACCTATTGAATGGGAGTGGTTTTGTTGGATTCAGACAAATTGAAACTTAAAACTGTTGACAAAAGATTCGGCTTATATTAGTTTTTATTTACCTGCGATGGAATCGGAGATTCTGCGCAGCAGATTTTCTTGATCGTATTGTAACGATCATCGCGAGCGGTTGGGCAAAGGCACACCACGATTTGTGTTTGTACATTGAGTGCCTGACGTAGAGTTGATGCATACGTTTCGGTCTTATCATTGTCCAAAATGATGACCTTCGGTTTGCTGGCTGTAATTCCCATCTAATACCATGAAATAAGCATAGCATTATACTTTTGATTTGTAAATTAAAAGACAATTTTTTTTTTGCCAAACCTACCGAACGTATATTCTTTTCCATACAATCCATGAATGATTTGGCAGCCTTTGTATCGTTTTTCACATGAATCAGTAGCCAATTGTGCAAGTTAACCACTGACATCTGTTCATTGTTTGTGCAGTATTTACCGAAATCGGCATTCGGACCAACACCAAATGTTTTGCCATTCGCAAAGATGACTCGCTCCTCTTCCATTTGACTATGGTGTTTCGACGCCGTTGTAATTAATAATGAAGATTTTAAGATTAATTTTTTTTTTCATTTTTTTTTAAATTCAGCATGTTAATCATTCTCACCGTAATGTTACTGCGACGGCGTTATCCATCAGAGACAGACCCCAATTGGCCAATAATTGTTTTGTCTCTAACAAATGCAAAACCAAACGATTTTATTTTGATGTTCATATAAATACTTTAAAAAACCAATTTACCTGGACAGTTGTTCACTCGTTTGCAGAACTGCACCAATTCATTTGCTACACAACAAAAGAAAACAAAATTTATAATAACTAGAAAAAAATTATTACATAAATAAATTTAAGACAAAACCTCGCTGGTTTGGAGAAATGCGTGTGAATGTAGCCACATCTCGCATGACCTGTGGGAATTTTTCGAAATCAATAATAATTTGTTTTAGTTTTGATTCGATTTAAATTGTTGAAAAAAGTTCCCGAGTGAAAAATGGCATTGAATTTTTCAATGCGTAGTGTCAAACGGCATTTAAGCAATGAATCGACACCGCATGGCTATAGCGATGTGGTGTATGCACTCAACGTGCGCACGGACCATGTGGTCTCGATTTATTGCTTAAATGCCGTTTGACACTACGCATTGAAAAATTCAATGCCATTTTTCACTCGGGTTATATTTGAAAAACCATCAAAAAATTTGACGTGATGAACAAAGGAATACACGAAATTAGCTTACCTTGAAGTCGGCACGCTGTTCATCGGTTAAACCTGTCAAGAAACTAATTTCTGGAATGATCGAATAAACGCGTGATTCCTTTTCCGCTTTACCAGCAACACGTTTCTCCTCACGACTGATGAGCAATGGTTGTTTCAAATCTCTGATTTCAATATTATATTGTTGCTTATAATATTGAACGTATGAAACTTCACCGGTTTTTGTTTGAAATGTGTTTGTCGGATTCTGGTCCCAATCAATGTCGTCGATGCGATAGGTTTTGTTGTTGTATCTAAGAAACGGATTTTTTTTTGGTTATAAGTGGAATCGGAATGTTCAATTCTATATTTAAAAAAAAAACTATTCAATAACTTTTTGTTTAAATTTCAATTGAATATTATTTAATGCGATGTTATAAAATAAATTTGATCACTTCGAATACCGTAATTAGAAATTGTGCAATTTATTTGACATTGGTGGTATGAGAACGCAGAAAAAAAATACCTGGTCAAAACGACTGCCCCAAGTAGTGCTTGTGTCACTTTGGTCTTGAAATCCTCGCCTCGAGAATTTCGGTACGCGTGCTGAAAGATATCAAGTACGGCCGTTTGACGTAGAACACGATGTGTTACATCAACACATAGCATCACACCATCGTGACATTCTTCCACCGCTATTTGAAAAACAAAAATTGTAAAAATGTCAATACTCATCCGAATAAAGATAAATTATATTTCCTTTTTTAAAAAATCGTACAAAAAGGTAAAAAAAAATGACATAAAATTTTCGAACAAACCTGTAACATATCCGGGCCAAATTTCCAATTTGTGTTGTGGAATGACCTTTGGCGCAGATGGATCAAAATTCTTCAAACCGAATTGTACAAACTTCAAAATTTTCATGATATTTTTGAAGAGAATACCGTACAGCTGTTGGCATTCAGAAAACTTCTTGCGACCTTTGTAGATTAGTGTGATCGTGACATCAGAGTTATCATTTGGGTTTGCGCTTTGAAGCTGTGTCACCTGATCGGGTAGCTGTATTGGCAAACAGAGTTTGACACCATCGAATGTTTTTGTGCGACCAATTACATCCAACTGTTGATTCATCAATGCATAGCGTAGCTGATTTGAATGAACCGGTGGATCAAACCGCGCTTCATATTCGAACACGCCTTTGTTCGGTTCGGTTTGAAGTCGAATGTAATTGGTAAGTCCCTGAAGCTGTGCACCCTTTGTACCAATTTTTGCTTCAACAACTTCTTCAACGGCGGGCTCGTCGAGAGGAGCGGCCAAAGATACATACTGTTGAAACGTTGTTGCTTCTTTCGATCCGCTTGACTTCGACGATGCCTCTTCACGTCGTTTCAAACGTAGTTGTGCAAGTGCATCGGTTGTTGAAGATATTCCAGATTGTGCTTCATCGACTATGGCTGCTGGCCCTGGTTGTTCTGGCGTTGCCATGGACATCAGCTTGCCGCGTCCACCAATGCTTCCACGTCCAGCCGTTTTTGGTGGTTGATCATGTTCCAAATTGGGCTACATTTTATAAACAATAAAGAAATATGAATAAAAACTTGCAATACCGAAATGTCAAAAATGGCGCTAAAACATGTTCACAGTTTTGAGTTGACATCAATTAAAAATTAAACGGTAAAAATATAGCGTGTTTTTTTATAATTTGACACAGCACAGTATCACTTTGCAAAGGATATGCGACCAAAGTAAAAAAAAAAAACCACACACGAAGCACGACACAGTTCAATAACATCGATGAAAAAATGTGTGTGCACAAATTATGTTGCTTAATTATCTCATATTGCGCGTCTTTAGATAAAACACAATGCTTGATGAAGTGAAATGAGTGTATAAAATCCAAGCATACAATTTTGGTGCGTGTTGTGCTGTTCAAAACACACACTACAAACGATTAGTGAATTTGACATAACTGTACTCTGGCTTGCTTCAAATCAAAACAATATTTTGCGACGCGATAATTTTGTTGTTGTACGTTTGTAAAGCGATATTTTTGATGCTCAATTCGAGGAAAAAACCGTTCAAAGAAAGAAAAAAAATGACGACTTACCTGCACCATAGACAATAATTTTCCACGTCCACCTAGAAATTGAAGCAATAACGACAACAATTATTGTGAAATTATGGAAAATTCTTTGTTACATTGTAATCCGTTTTTTTATTGTTTTGATCTAAATTTTCTCACCTATTCCTGGGCGTTCTGACGAGCCGATGGTGCCTTGCAGTTTTGCTTCTTCGCTTGACTTGGAGAATGATGGATCAATTGATTGGTCAATTGAACTTGTTTGTACCAAAGAGACCAGACGGCCTCTGCCTCTCGACGAACTTGAAGAAGTAGCCGCATCTTGTGGTTCGGTCGGTCTTGTCTTAAAGGATAATTCGTTCAAGATTTTTTTTTTTTTTTGAAAAATGAATTTTATCCCGAAAATGCACGTATCAATTTTTTTTCAAAAATGGATCTTACCATGGCGGCCAAACGCCCGCGTCCAGTAATGCGCGGCGTGTCATCGCTATCGGTTTTTCCTGGAGTGGTATAACCTTCATCAGTTTTTTTGTCGCTTGTGGCTTGGGACAAACGACTGAATGCTTTTCTTTCATCGCTCATTTTCACCGACTCTTTTCGCTTTTCAAATTCACAAATTTTTGATGGTCAAAATAGTTCTTTTTTTATTTTTCTGTAAAAATTTATTCGAAATCTTCGGTTGAACACGTGTTCTATAATGATTTTACACAAATTGCTATTGTTAGAATAATTTAACGGTTAATTTTTTTCATTGGTTTCGATGAGTACACAAAATATACGTCTACACTATCCGATTCCCAAAAATCAAATAAAGGAGAATATCGGATTGTGTTTGCACATTTCATCATAAGCATTGTTGTAGTAGTGGTGTTCGTGTTTGCATCGACATGCAAACATTGAGTGTTGTGTTGGTGCAAAGGAGATGGAATCGTCATATTCCATTCACTCGCATCGTATGATGCTGAGATTGAGTTTTTCGGCACTCGTTGAAAAATATGCAACCACAGCACAAAAATGGCGCGCGATTGTGCTTGTGTGGTGTTTGTTTGTTGTACAGCATCGACGACAAAACTGAAAAAATCTTTTATGCCAACTTTTTGAATTGAAACAATGATTCTCTTTGAAAATGTACTGTATTTTATTGAGTGATTTATTCATTAAAATCGTATATTACAATCAAAAACACTAATGATTGTCATGATGATGGTATTTTTTTGATTTGTACAATCAATAAATGATGACGAAAAAAATTATACGTAAGTCTACTCTGTCAAACATAAAATGAACGTTTTTTACAATGTAAAAGTACAAATGATTGTATTACAGTCCACTCAATAACGGCTTTCGACCTGGCCACTGCTCCTTAGCGTATTTCTTCTTTTTCGGCTCGTTTGGATTTGAAATTTCCATATTGTTGTCTGACATTTTATCTGTACCAATAACAAAATTTAAATAAATAATAAAATAAATTGAAATTTGGTAATTGCAAATGTGCTCTTTTGTTTTGAACGGATATTTACTTTGTGGTCCCATTCCGAATGGTGTCGGTGTCAATGAGATTATTTTGTCTGGATTTGGTGCAACTTCGGGCGCTGGATCGGGTAATAATAAACCAAGTTTCGAACCAAACGATGGTACCACAGACGGTGAAATATTTACATCTAAACTGCCATGACCTGAATTCGATCCAATGCTGCCGTCGTTCAATTTATCTCCAAATTTACTGCCAATCGGCGGAAGATCTTGATACAGATGAGGAATGAACGATGTTGGATTTAAATGCTTTGTCATATCTACTTGCAATGAACGAGAAATAATTAAAGAAAAAACTTTTAGTAAAAATCGGAAAAAATAATTTGACACATTTATGGGTGCGTGCTCCATTTCGATGCATTAGCAAAGCTGAGTAACAACATCTGTTTTTTTTTTATCTCAAATTATAAGCTTTAGTATGACAATTTTATTCTTTTGACTATTTCGTCAAATCGATTTCTTTCGTTATGCTTTTCATTAGAATTGCATCTATTTATCAATACTAAATCATTTCACATATATGCCAAACACCCACCTGCACCGCTTGAACTAGCTGTTGAATAGCCCATGAAATTGTTTTCAATGCGTGAACGCTTTGTTGGTATAACAGTTGTTTGGATTAAATTACGGAAGCGTCCAACATTCGGATCAACATCTTCTGGATTGATAATGCATTCCTCATCATTAAAAGTGACATTGCGTCGCTTGCGTTTGTTATTCTTGTTTTTCTTCGTTTTGACATCGTCCGTGATGCCGAGCATGGATATGCGTCGATTGTGGGCCGTATTGTATTCGGTTAAATTCTGTAAACAATGTCAAATGCGTCAGTTTTTGTTTTTCGTTTCAATTGATTAGTATTTACATCTAAATCGGTTTCGCTTTCAGGCAATCCTAGTAAAGCACCTTCGCCGGTTTCACTCATCGGTATGTCTTCATGAATAATGTTATCGGACCGTGATCCAGCCGATGGTCGTTCGCGTAAAATATAATATCTTAAATAGAACAAATAAAAATATATTAAAAAATAATTTCTCTCGAAAGCCGACAATTCATCTACCTAGTTGAAGCACCAAAATGAAACGTCGAATTAATTTGGAGTTGCGTTGGTTTGTGTGATTCAAGTCGTAGATTTCCGATAAATGTTCCATGAGCTTGTCACAAAAAAACCAAAGAGAACAATAATCTTGCAATAAATCTAATCGAATGAATTTTTTTTTTCAGATAGAATGGATGGAAAACTTACTGCTTCCCAGATCGACCAAATAGGAGATATTCAAATGTTTATGATAGACTAGTGCGGCATGAACTCGAGAACACGATGCATGATCGATACAAAAATCATTTAGCTGCTTGTTTCGTCCAAACAAATAGCATTTTTTTTCATCAATCATAAGTTTTTGAATGAGTTTATCGTCTTTCGTAACATCCAAATGATGGCCGGTGGGTGCCTTACCAGCCCATGATGGGATTTCATAGTGATTTGCCATATTTTGGCTGAAGATTGTAGGGTAGTTGTTTTAAATAAAAACGAAATCAAGCAAAAGAATCAAAACAATTTTCAACTGTTGTAACTTTTTATTTATCTTAACATGCACACACAAGCGTTCGCAAAAAGACAATAAATATTATTGTCCAAAATAAACCGCTTTTTTCAATGCAAACATTTTCAATTCTTCAATATATATACAAAATGTTGTTCTATCGATGCACACTTAAACTGATTACAGAAAGGCGATAGATGAAGTAAAAAAAAAACACACACATAACATTCGGAGCCGATCAAGAACTGTCAAACATACGTAATTTCGACTATCATCCGTTTCGAATGCGTGAGAGACCACCAGTGCATCTGGTTTGTACGACTTTTTGAATTTAAAACAATATTCCATGAAATGAATCAGCTACAGAGATTGAGAGTGAGGGAAGGCAAGGATAAAAGACAAAGAACAACATGTTGTTAATTAATTTAGCTTAATTATAGAATTTATTTATTTTCACATGGGAAAAATGTCATGTTAATTTAAAATTTATTGAATTTAATTGATTCATGGTGGAATTGTGTACCGTTTGGTGTTTGCGGTTCGACATACATACAAGCAAAAAAAATCGGTATATTTACTCTATGAAATGACAGTCTCTCGATGAAGCTTAAAAACAACATTATCGATGTATGAGTACATTCATTGAACATATCATCAAGTATGTGTACTCTCTCTCCTCACACACACACACACACACATCGCGTGCATGTGTGTGTTTGGTGTGTGAATGTTTTGTATTAGTTTCGATTCTAATACGTTTCCAATTTAAATTGCGACAACATAGCAAAATTAAATGAATATATGTTTAATAAAAATCACGTTGGGTGGCGCTATTCTCTATGGGTGAACACACACAAAAATATGCCGCACATACTCTCTTTCACAAACACATATATAAATAGAAATAGGTATGCGGTCGTAAAGACAGAATGTTTCAAATTCATGAATATCAGCAAAATTTCAAAAATGGTCTAGTACAACATAACCAACACATATCCAATTTACGAACGGTGCCAACGGTGAGATGTACACAGACACAGCGTATACAATCGCATCATCAACATGTACACTCACACACATGCACATACACTCAAACCGTTCATCGTTTGGCCAAATGCTTGCTATTCATTGTCGTCGCGCATAGATGCAAATGTATGCGAGAGTACAACTATCCAATCCATTAGAAAAAGACGACAAAACCTCTCTCGTATATCTTTATTTTTCGTTCAGTCAGTCACACAGTAGAGCAAAAAAAAATTTATACAATTAAACAACACACAATATAGAAAAAAAAACACAATTTTTTCGTGTCTATCTATAACATCGTCGTTCGATTTTCAGTGTTTGGTTTTCTTTGATTTTTTGATTATTCTGTTTTTGATATAGTGTTCGGTGTGTATTCCTGCTCTCACCTCTATCGGTTTTGTTCTTCTTTTTTTTGTGTGATCGTGTCGCATAGAATTTCATTTGCCATTTGCTCAAAATAAAACACACGAGAAGTGAAGTGTAGCAAAAAAAAAAAACACAAAATACAACACCACAAGAGTGGAAAAAAGAAATATTTATAACAAAATATTAGTTTCGGAGAAAAAAAATTTGTTTTCATCTTATGTGAGAGGAAGATAAAAAAGCAAATGAAGTAAGTAATTCATGAAAACAACGAAAAAAAAAACTGAGAGAAAAAACAACAACAACAAAAAATAAAATATACCTATCTATCTATCCATGTTATAAATGAAGGAAAAATAGCAAAATACATATATGTGTGTAGAGCGTCAAATAGAAATATAGAAATAAAAAGAAAAACCCCAATTGATATTACATATTTATCTCTCTATGTGTGGCATTTGTATTGTGTTGATGAAAATGTCGCAAAAGATTTTCATCGAAGGAAATTTTACTACAAAGAACTCACTGAATTTTGCTAATAGTGCAAAACAACAACAACAAAAACAATAACAAAAATTTTCTTTTCGAATACATAGTGACGAAGTGACTTTTCAAAAACAAAAGACGATACACAAAAAAATAATAAGTTTTTCAAGCCCAGCAATAAGTACGCAAAAAAATAAAATAAAAAAAATCATCATATAAAACAACAAACACGAAAACGCTATTATTAATATATGGTCGTGTGTATTAATATGCACACATGAATGCGAACAAAACGACGGAACGGGAACGAAAGAAGTAAACATTGAATGTAACAAAAAAGAGAAGATATTGAATTGTATGTGAATGTTTTTTTAATCACAATTTTTTCCTCTTCTCGAAAACTTCTTCTTTTTATCTCTCTCTCTCTCTACATGTCGATGGTTTTGTTTTTTAGAGAAAGACAGAGCCATCGAGAGCAAGAGAGCTTGAGCGAGAGAGGGACAGAGAGAAAGAGTTCTACATTCAAAGTATGCACTGCTAATGTTCGTTATAACAATCGAATTTATCAAAGATCATCCGCGAACCAAACGTTAACTGCACAAACATAACAGTTTTTGTTCGTCATTTTTGCACAGTTAAATTCACCACGCATCGCGCAAATAATCAATATTATCGTTAGTTGAAAGGTTGATATTTGATATGTGTGTGTGTGTGCACAGTTCTATTTTGTGTGGAAGTTTTATAGTTTTTGCGGTGCCACACACACACACACACCGGCCACACTCAATATGTAAAATATTATTGAATTCGATCGAATAAATCGATTGTTTATATGAAAAAGTGTGATTGATCGGAGTTGGCCGCAAAGCCGACTTTAAAATGCATACACCATCTGAAAATTGAAATCATAACAATTGCGACTATTTGAATTTAAATGCTAAAACTTTTTGTACCAATTGCACCGTTTTCATGTGAAATTCCGTCATTTTATTCGGTTTTCTTCGTTGAATGTGCAATTACATTACAATTTTGGCAAGTGCCTTTTGCTATTTGCGAAAAAAAAACACATTTCTTTTATGCATACAGACACACTGGTGTCATATTCTCTTTTCACTGCGATATAATTTTTTTGTTTCATTTTCCGTCACATTCTTTGCTCAGCTCGAATCTGTCTAATCATCAATTTCAAGTTCACAAACACACACACACACACAGAGATAGAGAGAGAGAAAGAGAGAGAGAGAGAGATCAAAATGGCATAGTTTTACTAAAAATTGAACAGGAGAAAAGGAAGAACGGAATAGCGCTTCATTACATTTCGTTTGCAGAAAATGTACAAGCCAAAGAAATGGTGATGTTTTTCTGCATATTTTATACCGATTTTATAAAGTTTTTGTTGGAGAGTGAATCATCGATGCTATCACACACAGCGGCAATTCTAATGGCCATGATAATGACGGTTAATATTATGGTATTTGGCGAGTGTTGTTGTTGTTTTATGCTGTTTTTGTTGCTGTTTTATATATCTGGAATGTGATTTAAGTAATTAAAACGAATACTATTCACATGTACTTACTTACATACATCACACACACCCCAAGTCACACGAGACACACATATATACATATCAAATATGACCCATCAAACATAAAATTGAGTTAAGTAGTCACGAAAATTGTCGATTAACAACGGAAAGTGAATGAAATGCAAACGACTTGATAATTTGTGGTGGCTAAAGAGAAGCGACATGAAGAAAAACGACACATCTAGACGAAAAACACCATCAACAACAACAATAACAATAACGTGCGTAGTAAATGAGAATATTCACAATGCATATAACCGTGGTTTTAGCGGCAACAAGAAAAGAAACGAAAAATTCAAAGAAAAATATGAAAACGAAAAAAAAAGCACAAATGCCATAAACATAGTATCGTTTTCATAATATGATTCATAGTTCGGTTTGCATTAGCTGCGAGAGTCACATAATCCAATTGCCGAACCGAAACGTTGTACGCTGTAAAAGTGCCCAAAATCGACCAATGCAGATAGAGACAGAACGAAGAAGCAAATGGAAAATACACAAAATTACTTTTCTCTCTCTCTCTCTTTTCCGATTTCAAAGTACCAGTGTATATAGATTACACCCGATTACATTCAAACAAAGTCGACTGGCGTTGTCGATTGCCAAGTAAATACACCACGAGTGCAAATTGATAGTTGCAAAACATAAAACAACGACAGACACATAGACTTTACAGAGTAAAAAAAATCAAACGAATTTGTCGGTTTCAATGATTTTTGAGTGTTTGTTGTTGTTGTTGTTCGTTTTATTCCGTCATTCGATTTTCTTGCATTTCATTTTGCAAACATACATATTTGGGGCCGTTTTGTGTGTATAGTTTTCATGCCTTCCCCGTTCACCAAAAACCCCGTTCGGGTGTATACCGCTACTATGATTCTCCGTTGTTGTTATTATTAGGTCACGACTAAAGCATACACAATGGAAAATGAAACTTGTGTACTCGCTCTCTGTGTAAAACGCCACACATGCATTCATTGTAGTGTACAAATAAAGTCAAGTCGAACAACAACAACGCAAAAAAAAAATACAGCACATAGAGAATCTATGGCTCCATTATGAAAGAAGAAGAAAAATAAACAATTCACTATTCAGTGAATAGTATTCACCATATAAAGATCCAAAAGAAATTGATTGTCTTGGTTTGGTGCTGCTATTTCTGTTGCCATTGCTGCTGCCAATGAGCGGTTCAAAGTTAATATGTATGCGGTGGTGTCATTTCTATTTTTTTCTCTCAAAGAATCACCCAAGCCACACAACAACAACAACAACAACGACGACGATCATTCAAAAATAGTAAACTGGACATATTATCTAATTGATGTAAATGAGGGAAGAAGTGTGCGTGTAGTGCGTGTTCAGGTCGAAAATGTGAATGATCATCGTATTGGACGCGCCAATGGCTACCAGTTAACGAGACTAACTATAAAAAAAGCATAAAATGGCGTTCAATTGTTGGTATGCCAATTTGAAATATTGAAAAAGATCTCGTCGTCGTTGTCATACACAAAAAAAAGAACCTAACAAGTTTCACGTGGATGATCGAGTGTGATGTGTGAAGAGAATAGATGTAAAGAGCGGCATTTTTCTTCTACTGACGCACACACTTTTCGGCATTGAATTCTCTGTCTCTCGGTCGTCGGTCGACCGATTGAACAACAAAAAAAACTCTCGAAAAAAAACAAGCATAAAAAGAACAGAGAGACAAAGTATCTAGATAAAAATCACATGCCTGAGTCATGATCTATAGAGTTTAGGATTCGAATGTGAGTAATGCGAAAAACCGAATTTTCGTTAATAGACATTTAATCGATTTGATCCGTGTAGCTATATAGCGCTGAACAATTTTAACTAGCTCCATTTCTAAATGGTTGTTTGTTGGTGCTGTTGTCGCCTTTTGCTGCACTGTGTGTCTTTTCGTCTTGGGTGTAATCTGTGCCAATTTTCATCATCACAGCCGTCGTTGAAGCCTTCAAGCCAGCATTCATCGTCATCGAAGTCAACAACGACGACGACGACGATCTAATGTCTTTGCGATTTCGCGATTTCTTTTTCATTCGACATGCCATTCTTTCCGGCGTTTACAGGTTTATTTTCTACGATGTGCGCTCACAATCGCTCGCGCACGCTTCTCGTCATTTCATTTGCCGCTTCACATCTAATGCGAAATTACTGCTTTCCATATCTTTTTCATTGATTGCAACAAAATACAACGAAAGAGAAAAAAGCAGCAGCAACAACAACAACATCAACCGCAAATCGACCAATCAAATTCATGAGCTCGAAATCTCGAATTTGCATTCATGCGATTACCTTTTTGCATTTTTCCCAATCGGTTATCGTTTTTTTTACAATTTTCTCTCTCTCTCTCTCTGTCTCTCTTTCTTTCCATTTCATTTGGTCGTCAAGTTGCTCATGTTGTGTATGCATTTCGATCCTCTTGCTATATCCATGTATTTGTTTATTTGTTTGTTTGATGTTGTTGATGTCTTGTTTTCTATATTTCTTACGTTGCATCTCTCGTGCACTCTCATCACAAACTCTTCGCCTTTTTTACCATCTGCGAATCAAAGTTTTAAAAATGTTCGAACTTAATTTGCAATGAATGCGTTTTCAATTCAGTGTGCAAAGTGTGCTTGCGCATCAACATACTGTATAAAACATCAATACATACATCACATTGACATTTGGCGATGATGGCTGTTATGTTATTTGTTTTCGAATGCAGTTCGCACGATGGCTGTCGGCTAAAATCAATCTGAACTCGCTTACGGATATTACAAACACACACATACACCAAAAGCATGTGAATTTTTCTTATTCAACGCTCTTTTTTTGGTTAATTTTTTTTCTCTTAGATTTTCGATTCTTCCTCTTGATCTGTTTGTGATTACAGTGCATTTGTTGCACACAGCCATGATTCACGTAATTCAGCGCGTGCGAGAGAGATGTAATTAATTATCCATGCAGACATGCAGACAACGATGTGATTTCAGCCCGAACGTTATATATTGTCTTTACGGGTGCGTGTGTATTTAGTAAATTTTGGACATAACAAAAACCGTCGCAACAAATTGGCTCTCCATGGAATTAACGAAGCACACTCGACATAGATGTTATTTGTTCTTAATCAAATTACGGTTTGTGGCACTAATTTGACGCTTTGTTTTGCCGTATTTTAACTGCTTGCGGTGAAGAATTTCAAAGAAAAGAAACTGTCGTTAACGAAAAAAAAAAGTAGCAAAAGAATGAGCTGAACAAAAAACCACCTCAATTCAAAATCAAATGCTTTTTTTTAACGCAAAAGCACATTTGCATTTCATGTATGTGTATGTGTGTTTGTGAAATGGCAAACTAAAAAAATTTATTACACATTCTATAGCGAAGAGACTGTCGATTTACATTTCAGCAAGCAACAGAAATTAAATTATGCAAACATTCATCAGCTATCAATAATATTGTGGATTTGATTCACGTTGTGAAATAACATAGCGGCAAAATTAACGATACATAACAAAAGAAATATAAAGAGAAACAAAAATCACGTAATTTTCGTGAAAAGTGAACAGTATTTTTTTCTTTCTTCGCCGGTGAATTGCTCATCTTGATCGATCAACAAATTTTTGAGAACGGATATCAAATATGTGGTAGTACGTATGTGTTTAAAAGAAGAGAATGAACTTTTGTGTCAAATTGTTGTGTCTGTTTTTTTTTTTTTGGTTTTGACTTGTAAACAAATTAAGACGCATTTTTTCTTTGTACGTTGAAGTTTCAACCGATGAAAAAGCGGATATCATCTGCTCTGGCGACTGTGTGACTCAATCTATATATACATGCGCAATTGCATTCAATATATGATAATATTTTTGGTGTACAAAAGAAGCAAGTAGACATAACAAAAGAATGCGTTTCAATTTCGTTTTTAATTTGATTTTGGCTCATGCCACTGAACATGATGGTTCAGTAAGTGTTGTGCGCATTGCGGCTAAAGAGAAAGATCTAAAGTGCGCGCATATATTGAATGAATTGAGAGAGAGAGAGAGAGCGCAAAAGACGAAATTTCCTTACAATCAAAAGAAAATAATAATATTGACAACAATTGCCACAGGATCATTTATTTAGTGGAAATTAAACCAAAGAAAATAAACAGATGTGTTGTTGTTGCTTCATTCACTTAAAAATCTTTCAATTTCTTTGTTTCCGTCTCATTCTCTCTCGGTTCAGACAGAATCAAAGCAACTCAATACAGAGCATTGAATGCCATATTAGTCGAAACGTTGTGATATTGGTTGTAGTTCTGAATGTGTATTTTGATGATCGGGATGATGAATTGCAATATCGTGGTTTAGTTTTTCCCTTTGTTGTTATTGTTTACGTTGTTGTCGTTAGCTCGTTATCCAACGATTGTTATTGAGAGCATTCGATTTGAATGAAACGCCAAATACGCAAAAACCAATTCGAGAGATGAGAAAAATGTATCCATAAAAATCGAAACAGCGTCAAACGAGAGTTGTTGAGTACAAAGGAATTTTGCGCGATAGGAAGAAGAGAAAAAAGTGGCAGTGGCAACACGGCACATACGGCAAATAAATTGAATCAAATAGCGCAAAACAACAACGAATAGCGACGTTGTTACACATCGAGATATGAATTCATATCGAAAATTTATTGTATTTTTTTTTTCTTCTTATTTTCTTGTATTATAAAACTAAGGCATTTCAAAAACTAGTGTGAAAATGAATTGACTACCGTACAATGTGCCCATGTATATTGTGGGGTATTCGAGTGCCACACACACAGAGAGATATATATATACTTACAACCACAACAAAATATTAAATTTTCTAAAAATAATCATCTATTTATAAGAGCCGATATATTATATATAAAAAAATATTTCGTTGAATTTTTTTTCTGTTAATATATTTGTTGGATTTTGATGCAACAACAATAACCAAAACGGCAACTGCAACAAAAACAACTGTACTATTCAATTAAATTATTGAAATGTATATTCAATTTTTATTTTTAAATGAGTACGCACACGCATATTACCAAAAATGAATAAATCGTTATGTGAACACAACAAAAAAAAAGTAAAATAAAAAGTGTACAGAATGAAGAGAGAAAGACTAATATCGGAGCGCATTCATATGGCATTCGCATCAAATCACGCACTTTGTGAAATCACACGAATGCTCTGAATGAACGAATCGAAAACAGAAGTGAAAAAAACCCAACATAAATTCAATGAAAATCACTTTTTCTGCGAAATCTTACGGGAGTGAAAGAGCTAGAGAAGTGAGAATATGTGTTGCACGGTACTGGGTAGAATTGTTCGTACAGCGCGTGCACATATACACATAATAATATAAATAAAATTAATTTCAATTTCCTTTTGTCACCATGCCATCGACATTTCAAGCTTCTTTTTCATAAACCACAGAACACACACACACACACACACATCACAGTCAGAATCAAAATCCATGCAATAACAATAATGTACAGAATTGGAGAACAAAAGGAGTGGAAATCGTATGCTTATAGTTGCGCAAGATTAAATGTGCTTCAGCACACACAAAATGTGATTGCAATTCGGGTTGAATTGGTCGCAGATTGCGCGATAAGCACATAAAATAGGATATGTTTCATAGAAATTACTTTTCGTTGATGTTTTTTTCTCCTCGCTCTGTACAGTATGCATTGGAATTCGATTGATCGTTTGAACTGTGGTTGTGTGTGTGTGTTTGCGCGCGCTTTTTGTTGCAATGTGATTTGCATAATTTTCCCTTGCGGCCACAAAATCTTTACATTTTGCGACCAAACAGAGAGAGAGAGAGAGAGGAGCTTAAAGAGACATGGATATACGCGAAACTTTTGGCGTTTGCACAATTCCAACGAGCATTTTAGTGCATCGCTTGTAATAATTTCATTGACGGTTTTGTACAAAGCCAAAGAATTTATACACTTCCATACATATTGTTGTTGTTGTTGATTTTATATTTCTATTTGATATATTTTGCTATCAAGTTCCTTTCGCTGTTGTGCCCTACTTCATAATATAATACATAATTTTATGATTTATTTACTCATGACAAAGAGAAGAGAGAAAAAACCCATGCTCATTCATATCACTGCCACACGTTTCTGTATTTGATGAATAATTTTTTTGTTTCGTTTTCTCTTATTTTGCCCGTGTTGACAGATCACGAACTTTATTGCGAAGACGTGAATTGGACGATCAATTTAGGCCCTGATGTATTCATAATTCGAAAAAAAAAAACCAGCAACCATTTGTACGCGCACCGCACACCAAACAAACAACAAAGCAGCAAACTGTACAAAAGACACATACAACTAGATTTACAAAAAAAAATCATAAATCCCAACAACAAAACAGATCAAATTTAAAAGTGGTGCATTGGTACGGAATACCATACGGAAAATATGTTTAAAAACTTCCGTTCAATATGTCTGATGTAAAAGCCGATAATATTATGAGAGAAATGCCTGGTAAGTGTTGAAAATAGATTCATTATACTGAGTGTTTGTTTTTATTGATGAAAATCATCGATTTTTCACTCACTCGAATCGACTAACCGAAGAAAAAAACCGAAAGAGTTATGACACATTTTTTTTTTTTTAATCGGTGCGTGTGGTTTTTCTTTTCACTCTATTTCATCATCTATTTTGTAGCTGCTGTATCTGGTTTGAAGCGTCTCCGTCAATTAGAATCAATAATCATCGAAAATGGTGCGTCTAGCGTTCTATTAAGCACAAGCGGCAGCAATAACGATGAAAAATGTACCAATGCATCGCTAAATGTCAATCCAGGTAAAACATTATCGGTTGAGGCGCTACTTGATGCCCTAATTGTGCTCTACGATGAGTGCTGTAATTCATCGCTGCGGCGCGAAAAAACTGTCAACGATTTCATTGAATTGGTCAAACCGGTCATTCAATTAATCAAAAATTTACGCTTGAGCCGTGATGATTTTGAGGTGCTGAAAGTGATTGGGCGCGGTGCGTTTGGCGAAGTATGTGTCGTTCGGATGACATCCACCAATCAAGTGTTTGCCATGAAAATTTTAAACAAATGGGAAATGCTTAAGGTAAATGAAACAAAAATTAACAAAACGAACAACCAGAGCAACATTCATTTATTGCGCAAAACTCATTCATTTCACTTCATTTGGAAATGTTCTAATTGGAAATTAATTGTTTTCGTTTGTGTGTTTCTGTGCATTACAGCGAGCTGAAACGGCTTGTTTTCGGGAAGAGCGAGACGTTTTAGTATATGGCGATAAGCAATGGATCACGAATTTGCACTATGCTTTTCAAGATGAAACCAATTTGGTATGTACAAAATACAAAGCAAATGTTGTACGATTTTCTATTCCTGTTGTTTTCATTTGATTTCATAACATCAATTAACATGTTTTATTTAACATTTCTCTCTATCTGCGTCGTCGTCTTGCCTCGCTTTCGTTTTCATTGATAGTATCTTGTAATGGACTACTACTGCGGTGGTGATCTATTGACATTATTGAGCAAATTCGAAGATCGTTTGCCCGAAGACATGGCCCGATTTTATATCACCGAAATGGTGCTTGCTATAGCAAGCATTCATCGATTGCGTTATGTGCATCGTGACATAAAACCGGATAATTTAGTATTAGATGTAAGTGGACACATTCGCTTGGCCGATTTTGGATCGTGTTTGAAATTAGGTGCAAACGGAACTGTGCAATCGAATGTAGCGGTCGGTACACCCGATTACATTTCACCCGAAATATTGCGTGCCATGGAAGATGGACAGGGTCGTTATGGGCCGGAATGTGATTGGTGGTCGTTGGGCGTATGCATGTATGAAATGCTATACGGTGAAACGCCATTTTATGCCGAAAGTCTTGTGGAAACCTATGGAAAAATTATGAATCATAAAAATTGCTTTGATTTTCCCGCCGACGAAGGCACCGACTATCAAGTTAGCGAAAATGCAAAAGATTTAATGCGACGATTAATTTGCCCGCCCGAATTTCGGCTGGGACAAAATGGTATCGATGATTTCAAATCGCATGCATGGTTTGAAGGTGTCGATTGGGAAAATATTCGATTGGGACAAGCGCCATATATACCTGGTAAGTATTGTTTTATCAAACAAAAATATTATTTAAAATGAAAAACTATCTAATTTACTATTGAACATTTGCAGAAGTATCAAGTCCAACGGATACATCAAATTTTGATGTCGATGATAATGATGTACGTTTATCGGATGCTGTACCACCAGCAGCAAACCCAGCGTTTAGCGGTCTTCATTTGCCGTTCATCGGTTTCACATTTACACAATCGAGTTGTTTGTCGGACGTTGGTAAAATAACGCGAACCAATGAAATACAAAATGATATTACACAAAATGAATCGGATGCGGTTGACAATAACATTGATATACATTCAAGTTCAGAAGCATTGCGTCATTATAAAGAACAAATTGATTCATTGACCGAACGAAATCGTGAACTTGAGAGTAAAGTTAAAGTACTCGAATTGAATGAAACACAATTGAAGGCTGTATCAAATGCGGCGGCCGATGCACAGGCAAATGGTCAACTCGAGGCTAAAATCAAAGAATTGGAAAAATTGGTGCGTCAATTGAATACGGAAAAAGAGGATTTGGTACGTGATCGCAGCGAATCACATGATCGCCTCAATGTTCAGGATAAAGAATTAAATGATGCACTTAGTCAACGGAAAATTGCAATGGCCGAATATGCTGAAGTTACCGATAAACTCTCTGAGCTACGAAATCAAAAGCAAAAATTGTCGCGTCAAGTACGTGACAAAGAGGAGGAGCTCGAAAATGCAATGCATAAAATTGATACGCTTCGCAATGATATGCGCAAAATGGAGAAGAGCCGTCGGGAATATGAGAGTCGGATCGAAGACGTTATTGCGGAAGCAACAAAGGTATGTAACTAATGGCTATTCTCGTCTTTTTTTCATCATCTGAAATTGATTGTCTTTATTTCATTTGGGTAGGAACGCAAACTAAGAGAACGATCCGAAGAGTATTGTCGACAGTTACAAATGGAGGTCAGATCTCGAACTACATCCGATCTAGGCTCATCTTCTTCATTGGGAATGTCATCGGATTCATCACGAATGGAAGTTGAACGATTGGAAGTGAGTTTAATACGATATCTTTACTCCATTACTATCACATGAGCCATTTTTAAATCACATTTTGTTTATCTATGTTGCAGGTGCAATTTAGTGAAAAATTGAATCAACAACAGGCACGCTATAACATCGAATTGACGGCATTGCGTGAGCAATTGCTTGAGGCAGAATCACAACGCGACATGATGCAGCGCGAAATGCAACAAATGCGTGAAAAATTGGATTCATCTCGCCTTGAATCGATTACCGATTCCGAAGAGACAATTTCGGAGTTACGTAAACGTCACGAGCGTGAAATGAAAATATTACTTGACGATAACCGTAAATTAATCAATGAGTTGGATGTTGTAAGCGAAACAAATCGTCGCATGCAAAATGAACGGCTACAAATTGAAAACGATTACGAAGAGCTTCGTAGCAAACGACAAGCAATTCATCAATGGGAACGGCAAATATCTGAAGTTGTACAATGGATATCCGATGACAATGATGCCAGAGCATATTTACAAGCACTGGCTGCTAAAATGAGCGAAGAACTCGATTATATCAAGCACTCAGGTAAGTCAAACATCTCACTGGCATCTGATTTTAGATGATCAAAAACAAAAAGAACACACACGCAAAATACAAAGAATTTCATTCATTTTATAGGTTCACTGCATCAGCATACGTCGGACAAAAATTGGCGTAATCGTCGTTCACAAAAATTAGATAAAATGGAATTATTGAATTTGCAGAGCTCATTGCAAAGTGAAATACAGGCTAAGGCAGCCATATCAGAAGAACTTAGCCGAACTCGAGCCGATTTGATAGCAGCACAAAAGTAAGAACACCCATACCCTACAAAACATACCAATTCCATTTTTACATTTTTTACTTTTTTTTGCAGAGATCTACGCGAAACGAGACAACGATTCGATTCAGTAGGCGGTGAAATAAAGCGAAAAGACAACCAAATCCGTGAACTGCAGCAAAGGCTAGAAGTAAACGAAGGCTGTAAGTGTCCATTTCCCCATTATCATATTACCCTAATCTCTTTCATTTAAACATCAATTTATTTCCTTCAAAATGGTAGTAGTTTTGTTTTTTTTCTCTTCTTCTTACTATTTTATTTTTGGAAAATCAAATCAAGATAAGGGAAATAAGTGTTTCCCAATTAGATACATTTTTTTACTTTAATTCAGCGATTTCAAACTGTCTTAGTTACTCAAAAACAGAAAAAAGTTTACTAGGGTTAGAAATAATTTAAAAGAATTGTCTGCTGTTTATTTTTTTTTGGATAGGTGATTATACTATATTCTTTTGTAGTGCAAATTTTCATGATCTCACTGATCATGAATCTGAAAAAAAAAATGAAGAAAAAAACTCGAGAAAAATAACTAGTAATTGGCTAAATCGCTCGACTTAATCACTTCTCATTCGAACTGTCCCGTTTTCGTGAAAGAAAATTAGTCCCTCAATTCCTCTCCGAATTTTAATCAATGAAAAATTTAATCAAAATATTTCTCTTTGATATGAACAAACAATCAAATCCAAAAACAAAACCAAACACTTCGACACAAATTAAAATAAACAAAAACCTGAAAACAAAATCCACAATCAAACTTGAATTGAAAAAGATATGAGCGGTGAAAATGAGCCGATTCGAGCAAATCGATTGAGTAACCGGGAAGTAATGCTATCAGCGGCCGGACTACATAATATGCCATCAACATCTGGCGGTAGCGGAAACGGTGCTTATTACACATATGGCAATCGGCTATCATCTGTATCTTCCAGTGATATAACGCCCGACCAATCAAAAAGTGACCAAAGTCCAAATGAAGCGACAACACTATCAACATCATCATCATCGGTTGCGGCAAATCGTGTATTCAGCTCAACATCAAAATCGAATGCCGACGAAACTGATACCAATATCGATGACGATGAACTATCTCTCTCCCAATATGAATTAGATATAGTAAATAAATACTTAAATGAAATGTGCGAAAGTGATGATCAGGCACAAATTATTGTTAGCGATGAAGAAAAACATGTTGATGAATCGATGATGATCACTAAACAAAATGACGATTTGGTAATTGTTGATCAATGTAACGACGTTGAATCGGAATCACAGTCACAGTCTCAATCACAATCGCAACCCGCATCTACGCCACCATCATCATCTTCATCATCATCATCATCACTGCCATTATTATCACCGGTGCAAGAAGCATTGCCCACCGTTTCAAATGCTAATGCAAATGATGAAATGCAATACACACAGACAAGTAGGCAATCCGGATTTGATCAATCAAACGCTACAATTAACCAAATAATGCAAAGCAATAATGCATCCGCGACCCATTCGCATATCGGCACGCATAACGATGTTAACAATAATATTAGCTTGAGCAACACTATTGGCAACAATCATAGTGCGTCGGAGGCATCGACAGCGGTAATAGACCATGGACAACGACGCTACCCAAACGATAGTCGTCGGCCATGCAATAATAACAATAATAATAGTCGCAGAGCTAACCCAAATTCAAGCAGCATTAATAGTCATATCAGTGCAAATTTGCCAATCGTTGTTGGCATTACATCATGCATATGGGGCCTTTTTTTCTATGCTGTGAAAAGTTTCTATTCAGACTTGACTTGAAATTATATTGGAATCAATTCATAACCAAAAAAAATCAATCGCTCACTCACTTCTTCGATCTGATTACGTTTTCATAAAACACATTACATCGATTTGGTTTTTGCGTACAAACAGCACCATACGATCATTGAGAAATAAACCAAAAATTCAAACCTCACACAAAATTGATATGATCGATTGATGTCTGTCTATCTCCATCAGCATAATTATGTGTCTGTGTTGCGTGCACAACGCCAGCCACATCAAACACTATCATTTGTTTCCATCGAATTCGAACAAAATATTGCGCGCACACACACACACACAATCAACCTACAACAAAACGCGACCAGAGTTCACATTTTCAATATGCGTAATTGTTCTCAATTAAAATTCAAATGAAAAACCAAAAACACAAATTCCCTACAACGAATTTTGGTGTAGTTTTTTTTATATGTTGATATTTCATTTTGATTTTTTGATGTTGTTTTCTTTTTAGTATTATTATTATTGTAGTAATGAATAAATTGTGTAAAATTCTTTTGTTCGATGCACGATCATTTTAATTGTCTACGAATTGAAAATATAATTCGATATTCTTCATTTTTGGTATCAGCCCTCAAGCGAAGCAAAATTTCAGTAATGTAAAGAAATCTCACTGATCTCCCGTTCATACCATTCACTAACTGATTCGATTGATCGCATTGATTTCGCAAATCTTGGTTCTCGCTCTTAATCTCAATCGTTGATTTAACAAAAAAAAAAAAAAAAACAATTCAATTCCAATTTAAAACCGTTGTATATAATAATTGGGCTTCCCTCCGGCTTCAGGTCATATACGCTCATTAATCATCATTTGGTAGGCATTTGATTGATATCAAATTAAATCATTTTCTAAATCGTGCGTAATTGTCGCTTTTTTATTTTCTCTAACGCTAATGCTACTGCTTCAATTGCAAATTTCAAACATAAGAAATCCAAAACAATGTGCCGTCACAACGAACCATTGGAATTAGATGCATTCATTTGTGTTGTTCTCTTCAACTTTCTCGCTAACCCGAAAAAAGTGTGAAGTTTAAATGTGTTTGTGTGTGTATGGATCTAACGCGTTCCGTTCATCATTGTCAATTAACGATTGTTTTCGTGTCACACACTCAACTAAACAAAAAAAAAAAAAAACCAACAAAAACCATCCAAACACCAAAATGAATGAGTTTCCAATCGAATCCCGTTTTTCTTTTCTCTCTATTCGTTTCAGATGAAGTAAAAAAGAAAAAACGCAAATACAAACGAAGAAATAGGAAAATTAAAATGTAAGCGAAATGTAGTCATAGCGTTTTGTTGAGATTGAGATTTCAACCACAAACAAAACCACGAAAACAAAAAAAATGAAAAAAAAACTGAGAATAGAATACAAAATGAATATTCGGATATTTTTGTAGCAAATAAAATAAATAAGAATATACGAAGAAAGTACTCTACAGCGCGCGCGTGCTTACATCGCGTTATTCACAACGAGATAAAAAGAATGAATGAAAGAAAGAAATTGTTTTCATTACTTTCTGCAGACACCGTGGGGATGTGATTATTTGACTTGACAATTTTTAAGTCAACTTCTTTTTATTTAATAAATTATAATGGAGAAATTAGGAATAAATGGAAAAGAACGAAATAAGAACATTTTTGAAAGTCATTTTTGAATAGATTTGATCAAAAAAACTAGGTATGCGTATCTTTCAATTAGCAACATGTGACTATTGTATTTATAGGCCATAGCTCCTTCAAAAAAAGGCACACACAAAAAATCTAGTCGTATCAACTTTTTGGCCCTATTTATTTTTTTAAACCGAGACGATTTTTTCTTTTCTTTGATAATTGGGAGCTGTGCATGTTTATGAAAAAAATTGCCTTTAAATTCAATTGCAGAACATAGTTACTTCTGTTGTAATGGAATAAACATATTTTTATAATTTAACTGTTACACTTTTATTATTAGAACCATTTTTTTAAAAATTGTTTTTCATTTGTTGAAGAATCGAATTCCGAAAGTGAGCATTAAAAATGTGTTGTACGATTGTCTCGTTTGTTCTTTTATTTGGTTGTTGATATTATATCGTATTATCGTTTATTAGAATATAAGAATCAATGTAACCATCGTTATTAAATACAATGAATTCTGTCGATTATATTCAATCATAAAAAGTATTCTCCTTAAATTTATTGTGTTGTCAATGTGCATGTTGAAATATTTGGAATATCTTTGCAACAACAACGACGACGGCGACGGCTACGGCTACGATTGTAGTTCTCATATTTAATGAGTAAGAAATCGAAATCAAGACACCCTTTAAATGCTGTATACTGAGATAATTTGCTTCAATGAACAATATATCATTGAATTACGAGCTTGCGAGATTTCTCTCATGACTATGTTGAAAAGGCAAAAGTGTAAGCCAAAGTGTTAGCATAAATGGAATTTAATTGCTCCATTTGCCCAAATCAAGAGTTAAACACTCATTATAATTGAAATGATCATATGGTGTGATTCACACACAAATCAAAACCTTAATAAATATATAGAGTGTGTTTGTTCCCACAGCAACAGTTCATAATTATAGAGTTTTTTTTTCGTTCCGATTCTCCCTCTTGTGTCGTTTTTATTTAAAGATTAATCGTTATTTTGTTTTTATTTTTTTATTTCAATGTTCTTGATTGAATTCAAACAACAACATATTTTCGTTCCTCTATACATTTGGACTTGTTTAGTGAAAAGCATTCATCCGAACTATTGATTTTCATCTATTTTTTTTCTCTTTCTCTCTTTTTTTTCTCTTTCTCTTCCCAACCCACGAAATAAATCAAATGTAATGAAAAACGAATAAAAATTCCAAATAATTCGATTTCCGAAATGCATACGAACTTTTGCAATAGCGCACATTTCTGGAAGATCGATGAATGCGTGGCTATCGAAAACCACAAATGGTTTGTGTGCTAACGTAACTTTTTATTTCTCTCTGTCTCTGTTTAATTTCATTCTCTATTTCACATACTCATTTAGTCATTTCAATCAGTCGATTTCAATTTCAATGCATTTCGATTTATTTGTTTTTAATTTAAAAACTTCATGCAAACCAATTTAACTTCTTTTCGTAAAGCAAAAACAAAATTCTTGTTTTTTTTTATACTTCGCCTTTTCTGCAACAACAACAACAACAACAAAAAATTGCTCATTTTATCACGAATGAATCTTTTCTTTATGTAGGAAATGACACAACTTTTTTCTACAACTTTCAGAATCAGTTCGTTTTTTTCTTCTTGTCTATTGATTTTGTTTACATAGGTTTATTTTTATATTTTAAGTGCAATAAAGACAAAACAAAATGCTTTTCGCATAACAAAAGTGCTTGGATTAATATATTATAGCAAATATGCACATTTGCACATAGACTTAAGCAAATGCCTATGTAATAATTTCGTTTTTGTGCGAAATAAAAGCTTTTCTAATTTAAAGACTCGATTCATTCAAAATTCATAAGCAAAATGACTAAAACAATTTTGCCCAACTCATGCTTTGTTTTTGGCTAGAGTAGATATATTTTGTTTTCTTCTTTGGATAGACATACCATACCGCGGTAAAAAATACGATTTTATTGGATTTTGATTATTGATAAAGCTTCTTTCTTACAGAATGTATTTTTTTGTTACTATTTCATCACTAGAATTTATGAATGCCATCATTCACACATGCATTAAAAATGGACAAAACGAAAATTGTTCATTTTTTTCGATTTTTATTGAAAACAGTTTAAATCTAGAAACATATATTTCATTTGAATGCTCATCATCAATTCTGATTTGATTGTTGTCGATATTGAAGCCGCAAGTCACTTGCGGCAAGTGTATTCAGAATTTGTCATCATTTTCAGGGATTTTTTGATATTTTTTTTTTATTGGATGAAACGGCATTTTAAAATTGGCAAAATTCAATGGAAATTCGTACCGCAATTTCATCCAATTCACATTTTTATTTTTGATATTCAAAAGTTTTCATTGAAGATATCTATCATCATAAAACAATCATTTTCGATCGTTTTTTTATAGAATTCATTTTATTGTTGAACATTTTATTTATATCAGCTTATACAATTATACATATAATAATTTGTCCTCTTGTTCAACTCTATCTTACATATTTTTTCTTCTCTTGTTCTATTAATTGTTTTTATTCAATTTTACTTAGTTTCTATACTTTCAAAATTAAGTGCTGTACATTTTAAGTAATATGAACTAACAATGAATTTGTTTTTTTTTTTCTATTTTCATTCTCCATCATGTATTTTGTGAATTTGTGCGCTGTACTTAATCCACTGTTCAATACAAAAAAAAAAACTTTGTGTGTGGCGTCATTAATTTGCGTTTTTCTTCCGCTGACTGCGTGTTTTTTTTTCGTGTGTGTGTGTTTTTTGTGTCACTTTTTCTCTCGAATCGAAAAAACAAACAAACAAATAAAATCGTTCTACAAAATACACACTACATAAAAATAAATTATCGAAATAAAAATTGTTTTCCAACATTTTGATAACACAAAATCAATAATAACATTAACGAAATTGTGTGATTCATTTGCTAACGGCATTTAATTTTGTTTCGTTCATTGTGTAAATTTTTTTTATTATCTCGTTCATTCGTTGTTTTATGCTATATTCAAATGAAAAACAAAAAATAAATACATAAAACGCGCATCTCGTAAACTCTTGACATACGGTCGCAATCGATCGAAATATCAATTATTTTATTCAATGCACACAACAATTAACACAACGCAAAATGTACACACCACAAAAAACACAACGACGACGACAACCATCAATTTTTGCTCTCGCACGCATCTGTGATACAAACAAAATACACAAATACAGTCCTTGAGAGACCGTCGTCACAGATGTCGTATCTGGATCATTTCCTTAAAGAATCGGGCAGCACGACAAATACCACGCACACCACATCATCAACCATTGCTATTAATATGGTAAGTTTTATTGCAACAAACGAGAAAAAAAACCAAATCTATTAAATATTTGAATATTTTCCGAACGGTATTGTTCCGGTTGGTGTAAAAAAAAATTATTTTAACCACATTATGTGTTTTTAACAGCTACCGTCATCGAATTCGATATCACAACCATTTCAAGCAAATCTTCAAAATCAATCGTCAACCAGTTCATCATCGAACAACATCCACAGTCAGCATTATCAATCTCAAACATATGCAAATCAACAGCCAACGGTACGTATGAATGAACTTTTATCTTGCTTCTTTGTTCCCCTTATGTTCTTTGTTTATTCGTCTATTGTGCGCAGTGTTTTTTTCTACAATCATTTTTAATTGATGATGATTGAATATCATTTTGTTTTCGTTACAGCCACAAGCACAACAAAAATTGATTCAACCACAAACACCACAACAACATGCGAATACAAATCCATTTACGCAACCACAAATGATGTTACACCGTTCCGGCTATTCAATGGAAAGTGAAGAAGGTGACATTGATGATAATCCAATACACAGTTTATCCAGCTCAAAGAGTAATTTGAGCGAAAATTCACTGGTAAGCGTATTGTTGAGAGAGAGAGAGAGAGAGAGAGAGAGAGAGAAATAACAATTTCAATTTAATAATGTTTAATAATTTTATTTGTTGTCTTTTTCAGGATCAACATAGTGTACATAGTACAATGATTCAAAAGCCGAAAATGCATCAATTTTTGGTGCGAACGTTCAGCAGCCCAACCAAATGCAATCATTGTACATCGTTAATGGTTGGTCTGACGCGACAGGGTGTTGTTTGTGAACTGTGCGGTTTTGCATGTCATACTGTTTGTTGTCAGAAAGTTCCTACCACGTGTCCGGTGCCATCCGATCAAACAAAACGACCACTTGGAATTGATCCAACACGTGGCATTGGCACCGCATACGAAGGATATGTCAAAGTACCCAAAATGGGCGCAGTTAAACGTGGCTGGGTCCGTCAATTTGTTGTTGTTTGTGATTTTAAACTATTTCTGTACGATATAACAGCCGATCGAAGCGCATTGCCAAGTGTGCATGTGTCACAGGTGAGCGTTGTCAAACCATTCATTTTTGCTCTTTCAATTTGCAAGACGGACCATGAAATTTAAACCAAAAATTCTTCACATCAAAACATAGGTATTAGATATGCGAGATCCAGAATTTGCTGTAACTGGTGTACGTGAAAGTGATGTCATCCATGCGGCTAAGAAAGATGTTCCATGCATTTTCCGAGTATGTAGATTTTTGAGACAAACATTTGAAAATCAATAACATGAACGTATGACAATTTGTTTCTTTTCATTTGCGTATAGATTACGACATCGTTGATCGATGGTGGTCTTCCATCACATACACTGATGTTGGCCGACACCGAATCGGAAAAGGCAAAATGGGTGGTCGCACTAAGCGAATTGCATCGCATTCTGAAGCGTAACAATTTACCAAATACAGCCATATTCCGTGTGCGTGAAGTATTGGACAGTAGTTTGTCGGTGCTTCGTGGTGCTCAAAGTGCGCTTATCATCGATCCAGACAGAATACTACTTGGCACCGAAGATGGCCTGTTCTGTTTGGATTTAGATCGAAGTGGTAAGAATTTGCCTTGTGTTTTCTTCAATTTCATTTGTAACTTTGTCTATGTTTGCTATCGTTCACTATAGAAATGGCGCGCATTGGCGAAAGTAAGAAAATAATTCAGTTATGGCACATCGTTGAGGAGCAAATATTGGTGGTGTTGTGCGGTAAACAACGGCATGTTCGTTTGTTACCAATTCGAGCACTTGAAGCGACTGATGTTGAATGGATTAAGGTGATCGACTCAAAGAACTGTATAACAGCGTGCATTGGCATAATTCGTCGAAATCCTCAGCCGGTTTATTGTATTTGTATTGCATTAAAACGACCAAATAATCAAACGCAAATCATTGTCTATGAAGTGAATCGGAATCGAACGCGTCATCATAAGATGTGCGAATTCACCGTTGCTTATCCAGTACAAGGTCTTCAAATTTTGTCTGACATGCGATTGGCGGTTGGACATCAAAGTGGTTTCACAGCATATTTCCTGCAGGGTGAAGCACAAGCAATGTGTAAGTAGATCACGATCACAATTCAATTTTGTAAAAATGTTAAGCTTTGACAGTCCAATGATAATGCAGTTGATCGTCAAATAACACTGCATTTTCGCCGTTTAACCGAAATAAATTGGTTTTATTTAAACGCGTAGTTAGAAATGTGAGCTTATCGATATTTTTTTCTTTCTGGTTTAAAAAATGCAGCCTTAGTACATCCAGAGAATCAATTATGCGCTTTTCTTAATTACTCGGGCGTTGATGCGTGGCGAGTTATCGAGATTCCAGGCCATGGCGAATTCTTGCTTGTATTTCAAACGCTTGCTATTTATGTAGACCTTCAAGGGCGCAAATCTCGTGATAGAGAAATTATGTATCCTGCATTACCAACACACATAAGTATGTTTTGCATTAAATTTACTTTGAATCAGCAGCGCTAGAACATAGAAATCGAAGTCATTAATAAATGTCTGGTGATTTTTCAGCTTATTGTGATGGTCATTTACTAGTCTTTTCCGAAACACATTTGGATATCTTCAATACACAAACAGCCGATTGGGTTCAATCAATTGGATTGAAACGATCACGTCCATTAAGTAACCATGGTAATGTGGCTGTTACATATATTAACGATCAAGCCATGGTCATCTATTTGGCTAATATGCACACAAGTAAGTTCATTCATGCACACAAGATTTTAATTATATCCAACAGAATTTAATTAATTGTTATTCAAATGAACTTTGTTTTAACTGAATTTGAAAAAAAAAACCGAAATTTCGACCGATTTGTGTAAAATGTTATGTTTTCCATAGGGGAGTTAATTAACACTCAAGGCGACCGAGAAGGTCGAGTGAAACCAAAACGACGATTTTCGTTGAGGGAAACCAATAATCGACCGGCAAGAACGTAAGTGTTTTACATGGATCAACGATGAAAACTGAAATTAATAATCATTTATTTAAATTTCAGAACGGATCGACGATCGAAATTGATTTCAGCGCCAACGAATTTCAATCATATATCACATATGGGGCCCGGCGATGGTATACAAAAGCAACGACTATTGGATTTACCAACGACCATTGAAACGGCCGATCAAACGAACCAAAGAGTTTCAACATCAATGAGACACGCTCCGGCACCACCACGACAAGCACAACGGCCTATTTTACCATACAACGGTGAGTCGCATTTCTAAAAGTTTCGACCTCCTTTGTGTGAGTGTGTGCGATATATATTTAGAACAAAAAAAAAATGAAGGAGTTTATCTACTACCATTTTCTTAACAAAACACAAACAAAAAATCAAATCAAATGACGAAAAACCATATTGTTGTTATTTTTATTCTCCGACAATTTAACGGCATACTTGGACACACAATAATATAGGTGCTAAACGAGCTGCACCGCAACGACCGCGTGAACAACCACCATCTCTACCAAGATCACCTAGTCCATTGGGTAGTATGTCCAGTCTTCATGACGTTTTGAAGGTGAATGATACTTTATAAAAACAAAAATCAAATCTCGCATCGTGTTATATTCTGTTTTGTACTTATAATTTATATAAATTACGATAGAATTATAATAAGAATTTGCGCAACATAAAATGAGACACAAAAACAAACAAATAAGAGAAAATATATTGTTTAGCTAAAAACATAAACAAAAGAAAGAAAGAAAACAAACAAATTTAATAAAACAAATACAAAGAAAAACCTTTGAACTATTTGATCTGTCAGCTATATAACATGAGTTGAATAGAAGTAGTGAATATTATCTATCCCAAGTTTTGTTTTGTTTTTAATGAGATAAAAACATTTATATATTATTTACTCCTCTTTTACTGTGCTATATAAAAACAATATTGAACATTATTTTTTTGATTTTATTTTTATGTAAACGAAAATAGGACAATTTGAAATATTTATTATTGCTTTTTTTTAAAAAAAAATTAGTATTATTTATCTCTTTTTTTATTATTATCAATTATTGTATCAGTGCTTTGTTGAGCTATTTACAGAGGGCATCCAACAGACAAACAAAGATTAAGTAAAGAAAAAAAAAAACAAATTAGAATAAAGTGCCCTGAAATATTTATTATGTTTTTACCGTTTATCATAAATTTTTGTAAACGAAATATTTCGTAAATGTATTTAAAGAAATTAAAATGAATTCTTTTTTACTTTGCTGTTCCGTATACCTTACAACAAAAAAAAACACAAAAATATATGACCTAATTTTTGGCTAATTGTAGTCGCTTCCAAAACCGAAGTTACTTTTAGTTGTTTTCTTTCATTTTATATGCGTGTGTATCTTGATAATTTGATGCTTCTTAAATCCCACCCTTAATTAGTTTTCCTTAGTTTTGTTTTGTGAATCGCTTGCCATTTTGCCTGTTTTGATATTTAGAATTTGGATTTAGTATATTTCCTTTTCTTGATTGCAAACTTCTGAAACCGTCGAGTACACAAAAGTTTCATTCAAAATTTGTCAATATTCACCGACTAGTTTCACTATTTTTTTTATTTCTTACGATGAAGTTTCCAAAAAAAAAAAATCAAGAAGAAACTCATTTATGCACTCGATGGTTAAGTGTTGTCCTCTTCGTGTTTGTTATTTACCTATTTGGAATGCTTAATTCTCTCTTGAATACTTTCCATTAAAAAAAACTATGATGTGTTACTTATCTCCCACTACTAACTGAAAAAAATACAGGTCGTTGATATGCAGTCGACTGGTGGATCTCGTCACAGTGTTGCCAGTAATTCGAGTTCCGTATCAAGTCCACCGTCACCATCACCCCCTTCGAACGATCGTCTCAGCTCATCATATGACTCCTAAGTCACATTCAAATAGGTACATTTCTCCTAATCTCTCCCATCACGCCCAACCTCGCCAACGATTGTGCTTGTGTGTCGTGTTTTCATTGAACTGTTTAGATTTAAATTCACACATTTCAAACAATATGGGAAAATACAAAATAAACCATGAAACTAACAAATGCCATCCATCATACATCAATTCAAATGACCAATCAAAAACGGAACGAGAACAAACCTAGTGAGATAGAGAGAGAGAGAAAGAGAAAGGAAAAAACAATTTACAAAATTATTTCTGTCAACATTTCAATAATATGTAAAGGAATGTGAAATAAGCAACAGCAGCAAGTATTTCGGTTAGATATACACACAGAACAAAAAAAAAACTATTAATTATACAATTCAAAAAGCAAAAATCAATTTCAATTATTAAAATATTTATTACAATAAAATACGATTAAACAAACAAAAATACCCAATGATATCATATTCGCATTCAAAAAAATCATCATAAACAGCAAAATGTAATTCACGCTCGTCGAAAATGATCGATAAAACTAAAATCAATGAACGATAACGAAAATAAGTGAAAAAACCGACAAAAATAGTTTAACTTGCTACAAAATCGAATATCGTACACAGAATAGAGAAATAGATGTATACAACAAATTTATATGACAAAAATGAAACAAAAAGAAAGCGACAAACGATTTTCACTGAAAATGCATCAAAAAAACAATACATATATAAAAACACACACTAACACAAACGAGAAAAGAGATATTGTTTCATCATGCCAATTTGCTAGTTAGCTTTTCATATAAAAAAAATGAATTATTACAATACTCGATGACTATATCAAATCAGCGACTAATGAGACTGACTCACAAGGGAAATTACACCCCATAAAATGAACAATTTTTAATGCACGCACCAACAACAACATTAATTTCATCATCAGCAAACAGCAAATAAGAATACGAGCAATTTGATGGAGAAAAAAAACATGGTTCACATTTGGCAATATTGAGAGAAGCTATGCATCACGCATACACAGTGTTTTTTTGATGGCTCAATGTGATGGTTTCACATCGTTTGAGTATTTTGTAAACTGTTTTTGAAAAAGAAAAAAGAGCGAAACACACCAAAAAATGTTTTTCATTGTTCATTTCATTCATTTTATCGCTCAACCTATCCGAATCGCCGATCGAACATTTTATACAAACCAAATGCAAAAAAAAAAAAATCTTAAATAAAATGGATAAATAAACGAATTTCAATGTTAGCATCACTGATGACGAGAACAGTGATGATGGCTATTAGTTAGTTCAACAATAAATCACATAGCATAAAGCAAGGTAAATCGACATACGACCATATTGAGATTTTATATAGAAAATAAATTGATTAATTTGCTTTTCGCCAAAAATTACAACAATAACTAAACCAAATGGTTCGGATCTTCCTAAATCGATTGTACTGGAATCTGTTAATCAATGATGAATATTATTTATGAAAAAAAAACAGCAACAATTTTCAATACGTCTTTTTTTTAAATAGCAGCAAACGATACAAAATATAAAAGAAACAAAAAAGAAAACCAGTAATGAGCCTTGCATTATGTTGTGATATTTTTAATTCGATTCATTTTGTATATGAAGAACATTTTTTTGTTGTTGTTTTTAAGCATTTCGAAATCGGAAAACATATAAACGACTAAATACAATGAAATAAACAAATTTGAATAAAAAAAAGAGATATACCGAAAACGACACAAATCCATAGTGTAACAAATACACATTTTTTTAAAAACTTAATTTATGCAATAAGATGAATCGAATTTTGTGGCTTAAACAGTGACATTTGCACAAACGCAATTTTTGCTTGAATATCGAGTTTGATCGAGATTTTTCTATATCATCCAGAAAAAAACACATATCAACCCATTCAATGTCACAAACTAAACACTACAAAATACTCCAAAAACTATATTGGCAAATGGTTTATATGAATTGAAATAAAATGATGCAATTGATTATTGACACTTGAAGCATTAAAAAAAAACCTTTTTGTACACCGGAATATAGATGCGAAATTTATTGAAAAAAAAAAAAAAAAGAAATGATCAATGTTTTGCGCAAACTTGCTTCGATTAATTCGAGAGTATGTCGTTTAAATTGTCGTTTAAATGTTGGCATGGACAGATGAATCGAATTTTCATTTAAATAGCAAAACAAACAAATGATTTCAACTTTTAAATTAGTTTGAGATTTTTATTTGACTTACGACTTCTGACAATAAAAGACTTTGTGCAGACTTCATGCTGAAAACACATGAAGTTCGTAGTGTATTTTAGCTTGGTTCATTATTATTATTATTATTATTTTTTAGGTTTCGTTTTAGTTCAAATCATTATAGTTTGAGTCAATACATAGCCAAGATTCGAATATTATAATTTACATTAATAAAATTATTGAAATTGATGGTTTTAGTTAAAAAAAAGATAGTGTTCACAAACACACACAAATACAGTTTTCCGCGATCTTTGTATGTACATACGCATTCAAAGCTATTAATGGGTAAGGAAACCGGTCTCATATGAAAGAAAGAAAAGTGATGTGTGTTTATTCAAACTCGCAATTTTAGATGAATGAAAATGTAAGAAAACAAATTGATGATAAAACTTAGTTCTTTTTTTTAAATTTAAATTAAATATTTTCGATGTCAATCACTTCGATGTCAATTGAATATTTAGAAATCAGTCCAAAAAATGGGAAAAAATGTGGAATTTATTTTCATCTCTTTGTGAAACAAAAAAAAATATATATAAACTCATTTCTAGACTCATATATATATGTATATTTTTGAATTGAAATTCTTATAATCAGGTATATTTAATGAATAGCAACAGTCTTCAAATAAAAAAAGGAGTTTTTGTCTGTTTTCTCTGAGTTTGAGAAACACGAGAAAAAAAAAGAATGAAAGATATGTGAAAAATATAAAAAAATGGAACATTGCAATACCTATAAAAATGCAAACTATATCCCAAAATCCCTTTCAATGTATCCATTTTCTAGAGTATAATCGAGCAATGTTATTTGAAATAATTTTTTGCTCGCGTGCGTGCATTCTTTCACACTTTTATGAATATAAAATTTACAACTAAATATTTATAAATATATTGAAGATGTGCTAGTGTAATTTATTGCTTTGATTTTTTATTCAAAGTTATTTATTCAATTTTTTTCGTTCGTTTCAACTTAAACAAAAAAAAAACACCTATAATGAAGCAAAAAAAAAAAATGAATAAAAAGATAAATTGAGAAAATCGATAAACGTATAGCTCGTCCCGCCACTTGATTCGATCGATCACACTCAACGAACACAATCGATCACCTCCACTCAGGACACAAATCAGTCCCCCGATTTTCGTATCAATTTAGCATAAACCAAACACTGAATAACAAAAGAGTTTATAAAGCCGTTTTTGATCGATCTTCTCGATTTATATGTATATATTCGCAATTTATATATTGAAAACCATAGAACGAAACAACAATAAGAGAACACTCACCACAGACACACACAGAGTAAACAAGAACAACTGTGCATTGTTGATAAAAAAAAAACATTTACATAACAATAATATTTAATGACATGGAAATCATTGACTGAATCTAAGGAATAAATTGAGAATAAGAACTAATAAATGAAATTAAAGAAAAAAAAAACAACAACAACAACAACAATGATACAATTACTAATACTGCGTTCGAAACTATTGCTGCTTAAAGTGATGCTTGCCGTTTTATTTCCCCGCAAACAAACAAAATTGCCTGTGGTGGAATTTGATACAGATGAAAAACGCCATGCTTTACTTTGAAATCAGTTGATTGTCTCGTTGTGACGCATAAACGAAAATAATTAATTATTATTATTATTATTAATTATATTATGGAAAAAATTGAATAGTTACGTATTTATAAAACATATATTACACCATTTGACAAACAAAATGACATGCTCTGTGAATGAATTTTATTCTCAATTGACTCTAAAATTCGACTCAATTGAATTTTTTGAAAAAAAAAAATGGATTTTATTCGAGAGGAAAACCCGTGCTATTTTGTATTGACCCTACCAACTCAACATTTTCGTCCAAGAGCATTTAATTCGCACACAGAACTATTTCACTTCGTTTGCCAAACGATGATCATATATTTAAAATATTTATACAAATAAATGAAGCAAAATCGACAAATAAAACGACATTTTTCATTTTGTTACGATAATATTAACTGCATGGATTGAACGGGATTGGTAATATTTTTAAATTTAACATATTAAGTGTTTTTGAATTGTTTCGTTATTTGGTTTTTGGTTGTTAAGCAAAGCAAACCATGCGATCACCACCGGTTAGGTCCAACGCAAGGTTTTCCAAATAGCAGGGATCTATATGAACATTGTGTAACATGTTGAATATTCTTCCTTTGATTTGGTGTATAAATGTTTGTAATCTTCTTGAAAATAATAGCAATATTGTGAAAAGACAATATGAAAAAGGTAAGTAATTGATTAAGGGGTAAGATGGAAAAACCATTGGAAACCACTTTCGTTTTTTGGAGATTCACTTTTTTCAAGCAAAATCCCTAGCAAATCAAGGTCAAATAATCTAGGGTCCCGATGAATATGTTGAGGGTTCCGTAATTTTTTTGGGGGAGGGGTGATCCGAACCCTAGGAACTCTCATTAACACCGGTCATAATTATGGAAACCCCTAATAAAATAAAATCGATCTTGAAATTTTTTACTTTTAGTGATCCGATCCAAATGATGATCGAATAGCTGTTTCGAAGAGCTTTGTGAAATTCATCCGAATAAAACAATCAAGAAAACAATTCATTGGTTAGAATATAAAACTATACAATTTCAATCAACGACGATAGCGAACAACGAAAATAAGGAAAACCCTTTTTTTCTGGAGAGATTATATTGATGATAATATTTTTGATGATCCCAACATCAACACATTTTATTTGATACATTGTTCGTTTTAACTTAAACAAAACAAAACTATAATGAAGCAACAAAATGAATAAGAAGATAAATTGAGAAAATCGATAAGCTCGAAGTATAATTACTTCGAAATTACATTACTCTACGATTCCTGATCCATTCCTTCGATTCTTTTTCCATTCAGTTTAAATATCATTATTCACATTAATTGTACAATATGTGCAATGAGATTTTCAAATGACAAAGATATATAGTTTGATCATATGAAAGAAACAAAAGTCGCAACAGCAAACAGATTTGGAAGTAGAGAGATGAGCCGTTGTACACAATAGCATCGGAATCACGTCACAGCGACAACATGGTGCAACGAACGGACATACGACAGCAGTAACAAGAACAAAACGAGAGATGAGCGCAGTCAATATTGATTGTATTGTGACGTCACATATCTTACAGAAAAACGCCATCTGTGTAAAACCGGCTTACTACGATGTAAAAGTATAGCGGAAGGAGATGAAGAAGAAGGAGAAACAGATATACGTTTGATTTACACTGTAGTCAGCGTGTTTTACGTAGATGGTGTTATAAGTATCTGTGCAAATTGCGCTTGCCCTTTGGAACAAAAGATAATTATCATATTTTAATAAATCGACATTTTTTGAATATTTTTGCAAAATATCTATTGTGAGTACATTGTGCAATTCAATTTTGTCAAATTAGAACAGAATTTTCGAAACA